TTGTTTTCAAGTTCTGCATTTGTTGTAAGTATACTCGTGATGATTTGACATACAGATTGTGTCCCGAAGCTGCAAGATACGGAAGCATGTCTTTGACTGTTTGTAAATGTAGACCCCAGTTACCAGTCCTTTCAGCTTTGATGAATCTACGGAGTATATCTATCATATCCATATACTGGAACCATAGTTGTGAAGTACGAAAACTTTTGTGTGACACCCGAAAGTTATCTATCCTAGATTTTATGTGATCTAATAAAACATTTTCGCAAGCTTTTTCGACGGATATGTCCCCTTTCAGTAGTTCATCCAACATCGAATCTGCTTCATGCAACTCATCCGAAAGGTCCTCAGGGTTCATATCAGTAATGTCGGTATTTATGTAATTTGCCGGATTAATATCATTGGTTCCACTCTCATTTTCGATTTGATCTGGAAGTGGTATGCCGTATATGTGTGACAAGATTATTGACGTGAGAGCTGTGTCTATCAGGAAATGTGCCCTTACTGCTCGTGCAATAGCCTTTCCACTAGTCATATGAGTTACTGCATTTGGTGCATACACTGTTTCAAGTAGCTCAGTAATTCCAGATCCTTCCATCAAGTGACCAATGCCGCCTACAAAACTCATTTCTAAATGAAAGCCTCCAAGTCTCAAGATAACTGACTTTAAAGGACTATCCAATGGTTCATCTTTAATTATGTTCATTGCCTTCCAATAGAGGGGTTGATCAAATGTCAAAATAGGTGAACAATGTTGAGCCTTTGCTTGCTTGCTTATGAAGTTAAGTGTTGAATTTATACATGTGAGATCACTAGGATTCATGTCTATCATTGGCAAAAAAACAACAGATGATTTTCCTGGATAATCACCGTCCATCACTTTGTGCATAATGGCTGACCAACTAGGTTGGTTGCATGTCAAAGGCCAGCATACTTTTGACAGAAGGTCTAACTTCCACGTTGTATCGACCATATTTGGCTCATAATTCATGGTTGCGAACTCTGCCTGTAACGATTGTTTAGATTGCATCTTATAATAATCTATGTTAATCTTCGCTAAGTCAGAGACTTCCTTTAGTGTGGGAGACAGCCTAGGGACAGCTTTGTCAAGTCTAAATCCTGGAGTTACAGCTGCAATCATGCCCATACCATGAAATGTTCCATGACCATCTAAAGTGCGCAGGTTATGGTCTACGTTATCAGCTATATACTGAACGAAAGTGTCATTCCCAAACTGTGTGTCGGTTCTGTCATGAGCAGCAGCAGCAGCATTAAGTTCAAACCTTTGAACCTCTGTGTAAGAAGAAGCAAAACCAAGAGTGTTCAAAGTGTCCAACAAAAACCTTGATCCAAAGTGATGATGCATTTGTACACTGAGGGCAATTTGTAGCGGTGCAATAAGTGTTCTTGGTCGGGTTGCCTGAATTATAGCTTGACCAACAGATGCAACTTTAACAGTAGAGTCGTTTTGACTAAATAATGCACTTAGAAATGTTCGTAACGAATCTGGGACAAAGGCAGTGTTTTGCTGTGAGTTTATATCAACAGAAGACGGATATATAGATTTTGAATCTTTAAGGCTCATAATATCTGCTTTTATTAGCTTAGCTGCTGTTTCTATCATCGACAGCTTTTCATCTTCTGGACTCTTAGATGATGGTCTTCTGTAAAATTCGTTCAGTATAGATGATGCTGTTCTCCTAAATGTGACTATATTCGACTTTCCGTTTACTTCCGTGATGATGATATCGGATCCAAAATGAGTTTGCAGTCTCTTTTTCATGTGCACCACACTATACGCCTTCTCTCCGCAAATTTCTTCCATAGCCTGAACAAGATCGCTTACGGTTGCAGGTTCGTCTTGTGTTTCTTCTAATTGTCTAACTATTTGCAGGAAAGCTTTCTCTGGTAAATCTTCTTTTGGTCGTCCTGGTGTCGTTCGTTTGACCTCTTTGTTTGCTTGCTTCGAAACGGGGATTTGCTTACCAGTTCTAAAATTAACACTACATGTTTGGTGGTATATTGCATCTGCAGCGTGCAAATCGGATGGCGCAATGTTTAGCCTCCTCAAAACGTTTTCGGACCATTCATCATTTCTTTCTTTGCAGATGTTTCTAAGGGTCTTAGAAAAATCTGTTGTCCTGACAGGAAACACGTCGATTCCCCTTTTGCTCTCCGAAAATTTTGCATAATTTCCACAAAATAAACAGTTCTTCTGGAACTCGAAAACAGGAGTGGAAGAGCGTAAGTCACGACTTAGCTCGGTTGTCGATAAATTCTTGTCTCGCAAGTCCTTCTTGATTGAATTAGCGTTTATGTAATCACGTCGACATTTCTGATGAACTTTTTGTCCTGGAGTTGTGTCGATCGTATCATTTCTGGTTTGGCTGGTCCTATTAACTGTGTTACATCCTTTTTCTCTTAGTTGTGTTATTTCTTCACCATTGTTTAGAGACACCCGACAGAAAACACAAGCATCCATCATTACCTAAAAAAATGATAAAACTGTTAAGACGAGATTCAATTAATTTGGTTTTGCTTTCATATTATTTTATCAAAAGATTTGTTTTGGATACAATATTAAAAAAGATCTATGTTGACTTTTTTTATACTATAAAATAATTCATATGTAGTGTCTGTACTCATTTTGATTCAGGATTACAACAGTTATTTTTTTCATTTTGTTAATAGTTTCTATTTGTCGATATTCTGGTTTTATTTGTACTTTCCGCCGTAGTTCATTGTGTTTTTATTACTTTATCATGTTAACGCTTATACAGAAACATATGACATTAATACAAGTATTAAGTGGCGCCCCTCCTCCTTTTCGGGTAAAATACCTGCTTGATGTATGCACAGAAAAACAACAGTAAAAAAAATTGCCCAAAAATGTAATATGAAGTTTGATAGAGTGCCTTTCCCCTGCTTGGTGCATGGTAGCTCAGTTAAATTGTATAATGGTAGCTTTGTTAAACTGGACAATTCTAATGTCCCTCTATCATTTGATTAATAAATATTCATCTTATTTTGGTAAAACAATTTGTCTGTATCGATTTTTAAATTTTATTATCAGTACAACTTCCTTTTTCCATGAATTCAATTTTGTTGGATTGTAACCTTTTTGGCACTAACGGCGTTCCATACTTTTTTTTTTCGTCAGCAACTCCTGGCAGTAGACTATAATTTCTTTTTTACGGGGCGATTTATATATGAAATGTATATAATTTAGTCCAAATATAAAAAGCAGAGCTGTTTTACACGTGATTTGTGGTTTAGACACCTCGGCAAACCGAAATGAACTCATTTCTGCCCTGTACTACTTTTTGCCGTCTCCCGTGTATTTACGCCTTTCAAAAACACCAAAAATACCTTGCATGACAGCTTTTACTCTTAAGAGTGCTAAATACATATAAAACTTTTATATATAAGTCTTATATTTACTTACCAGAATGAAAAGGATGGACACTAGATGCGTCGTCTGCAGTTGACCATTACGAGTTGTCTCCCATATCGTCATTCTCAATCTACGGGCGCCATATCTTTCCATAATATTTGAAGTAAAATCTTGATTTTTTTTTCGCCAAAATTGACGACTTTCCCCTATTTCGATTTTTCTCGATTTTTAATATGTTTCTTATACGTTATATCTCTCACGAATTCCGCAAAAAACATTTCTGTTGCAATTAGTTTGAGGTATAACCATAGAATGACTGGACTACACGGTATATATTGTAGTTTGTTTGAACATAGAATATGATTCTTGGTATGAGAAAAAAAAAGGTGCGAGAAGATTGCCACAAATGTAAATTAAATTGATAATCATTAAGTCATAGCCTTAAAATAAAAAAAAAAAACATAGGATCATGTGTGAGATTGGTTTTTTTTTATTTAATTTTGATGGAGATGCAATCAGTAAATACAGCTATTGTAGAACCAATGAATGAAATAATTTTTTTTTTTTTTATCAGGATTCATAAAATGAAAGATATTTGTGCCAGTGATATTTTACAACAAATGCACTCAGCTCTTATAGTCCAAGATTATTCTGACATCTGACATCCTTTCTTAGGAGTAGACTGACATTCGTCATTTTCACACAGTTATTGTTGAATATTTTAAGACATGCACATGTCAAATTTTGAATTAACAATTATAGAAATAAAATTTTGAAATTATCCATTCAAACTAATCTTATATACAGATAAAAAAAAATGTAGTTGTCTGTATTTTTTTATATTCTAGTAACTCATTTTCTATGTTTATAAAACCACCTTCGAAATGAATACATGCTTTTAAAAAACTCTTCGATTCTTGTATTGTGCTTTACAGAGCCCTTTGACAGTTACAGTTGATATTGATCCCTATGAGCGTTATTTTGTGGTCTCATGTCAAACCTCATGATTAAGGCAAAATTATACTCTAAATGCAGAAATTATTGAGACTGGTTTTTATTGTTGCGAATAATTGATATTTGATTTACATTGGGTGAGTTTCGCAATAATAAGAACTCACACTTTGGTATCTGATTCATTCATCTGTATGCAGATTTTCCTGAAATCACAATAATAAATCTCGCATTTTTGTTTATTCTTAAAAAATTGCAATAATAAGTGAATGCAATAACTTCTGAATTTACAGTACTTGATCTTTTGCACACCAGTTTTGAATTTTAGTAGATTTAACTTGAAAGTGAATTATTGAGCAAAAGAATGAAGGACATCCATATGAAGTATATAAGAAATCCAAAACCTTTCTAGTAAAAGAGAGGCAAAAGATACCAAACAGATATCAAAACTCATGAGTCTAAAACGAATTGGCAACGTCATGGCAAAATAATGGAAAAAGACCAAAACACAAACAATTGCAAGATTCAATTTGCTTCTAACACGAATACTTTCATTTATAAATAAATATTTGATTTTCCTTTGATGCCAGTGATTCCCTTGACTTTCAACTTAATGGTGATAGAGTAATAAACAGTAAAATATTTTATCTTACAGTCACTAGCTGATACCGTCACAGGTCACAGAGATAATGTTGATGGACTACAGAGGAAGGGAACCAGGCTGGTGTCACGTGTCAGCACCAGGGACAGGGCACTTGTTGAAGGAAGGATTGGGTGAGTACAAAATGATATAAAAATAAGGACATGTGGTATGATTGCCAATGAGACAACTGTACACCAGAGTTCAAATGATGTGGATGTAAGGCTTGTAAGCAACGGCTACATGCTTGTCACTGGCCAATGAAATGCGAAAAGGCAAAGTCAGCTAGATCTGTAGGAAAAAAAATTGTTGAACCAGTAGAACTTTGTTACGAACTAGATAAGCATTCATGTATTTATTATATGCGACTGTCATACAAGTGAGAGGTTTAGATTGCTATTAAACCAGGTTTAATCCACCATGTTCTACATACAGAAATGCCTGAACCAAGTCAGGAATATGACAGTTGTTTTCCATTCGTTTGATATGTTTGATCTTTTCATTTTGCCATTTGATAAGGGCTTTCCGTTTTGAATTTTCCTTGGAGTTCGGTATTTATGTTGTTTTACTTTTTTTATACATCTTTAGCTTTCAAAGTATTGGGTTTGAGCATTCATGTTGAAAGTAAATCCAGAAAAGCACTTCAGATGTACCAAATTAAAAATTGTTATTTTCAAATTTAAAGAGAACACATTTTCAAAATATAGAGTGTTATATATATATATATATATAATTCGTCTAAATAACAGCGCAACAATGTTAGGTCTGTAAATTTGCAGAAGCAAATTTTTTGTTCTTCCCTGGCCGGGATTCCAACTCATTCTACTGAGATATTGTGGCACTATGCCCGACGCTAGACCACTTGACCACCTAGGCTCGTCAAAATCAAGCTTTCGGTGGCCGGGTGTTACCTTTCCTCGTCAGTTTTTATCTAGCGTCGTAACACAGTACATGATATATAAGGCATGAAGATGGAATATTACAGATCAGCTGAATTATCTATCGTAGATCTTACAAATTAATGTAGGATGCATATATATATATATATATATATATATATATAAGAAAATTCTCTTGTAAACATATAAACATTTGTATGTGATATCTAGTACATACATATATGTAATAATTCATTTCTTTAGTGACTCTGAGAAGAAATTTGGAGATCTTGTGGATCAGGTGGAAAAGACGAAGAGACAATATGACATTATTGATAATAACTTAGATGACATTCGAGATGAGGTTGACCAGTACCTAGCATGGCTAAAGGAAAAGGAAGACCTCCTGACTAGAGAGACACCTAGAGGCTACAGTGTCAAAGAGGCTGAGGCTAAACTGGCCAAAAATAATGTAAGCGTATTTGTTGGTTGTGTTTTGTGTGAGAAGAAAGACAATCAATTTCAACTACCTATGTAGTTCTTATGATAATTAGGATGAGACAAGAAACTGAAAAAAAAAAAACATTTTTGTATATTCAGAAATTATTGTGTGCATTTAATATTGTGAATTTTGAAGAATTGTCAAAAAATACTAGACTAGTTATTGCGATTTCAGGAAAATCTGCATACAGTTATATGTATCAGATATCAGATTGTGAATTCTTATTATTGCCATACTCATTCAGTTGCATTATTCGCATTGATAAAAAACGCAATAATGTCTGAATTTACGGTATAAGTTATAACAAGATGATTTTTTTAAGGGCAGGCTAATTTGAACAAGGTCAAGAAGGATTAAACTTCTTTTTCATAAGAAATGTTTTTCAAGAAAGAATAATAACAAACATGACAGAGTTTATTCAAGTTTAAAGAGAGGCAAAATTCAGATTATTTTCTGTAAATTGACATTTAAATGTTTTATGACGAGATGCTTATCAGTTATCAAGTATTACAAAAAAAAATGATTACTCAAAAGAATATGTAAACATAGGTCTAATATGCTTACTTTTTTGCATTAATGATATCATATGATCAGTATAAATATTTGCTTAATAAATGATAGTATCAGTTTGTGACATTAGGGGAGAAAAGAATCAGAATCAGTTTAATTTTTTGTAATTGCTAGGAGATATAAAGTCTTGGTATTTAGTAATTTGGAATACAAAACGATTTGTAAAACAATAATATGTCAGAAGCATTTCATCAATGTTTTTTATCAGATTAAGAAGATTTTGATCAAATGAAATGTACACCATACAACTAAGGCCTGACATGTTTTCTGCAATGTACATTTGATACAATTCAATATTACTGTCAAAATTTATAACACAAAAAAGGTACAAATAAAAGATAACAGGATTTAAGCATGCAGAATTGTTATAATTAATTCTTTTGTATTACAAATGTACTGTCAAAATTAATCAAGCATATTTTTCACAGGATCTGAGGAAAGAATTAGAAGAGAAAAGAGCAAATCTTGAAAATGTTAAACAGAAATCTGACAGCCTGATACAGGATTTGTCTCGGGTTGAACGTAACATGGTCGAACGATGGATAGCTAAATTAACTACTGAAAGTCAAAAAGTCATGGACATTGTTGATAGTCAGAATAACGCACTTGCTGAACAAGCAGGAGAAAGAGCAGTGTTTCAGGAATCTCTTGACAAAGTCAACCTCTGGTTGCAAGATAAGGAACAGGAAGTACAGAAATTACAAGGTGTCCGTCTGGCATCTGGTGATGTGGAAAAACAGGTTGACAAATGCAAGGTTTGTATAAAGTTCTTAGTGTTATGATACTAGTTTAATTTATTACAGTATTATATGAGCTGCGTCGGATAGAAATCGACCTTATGCAAGTGAGCGTATACATGTACATGTGTACGACTTTGATTAATTTTGTAACATTCAAATACGAAATAAAAGATGAATTTGGCCTGTTTTGTAGGGTTCTTATGTAGACTCAATTTTCAAACAGTTACAAATATTGCATAGAGATTTTTTCAACTTGAAATAAGTTAACAGAGGTATTGATATTTATTTGCATAAGGTCGATTTCTATCCGACGCAACTCATATATTAAGAAATCCTAAAATTTTAAACAAATTATCCCTGAAAATAATTTAACCTTTTATATATTTCTATAAATGATTTGAGGCATTTGTATCCTTAAAAATTTAGAATACTCTTTCTTGAATATAAAATGGACAAATATCTCACTTTCCTATCAATAGATAAAGAAAAGAAAAGAAACAAACTCCTTAAACCAAACATGATACTTACTTACTTATTTCATGTTTGTACTTTAATTTCTTCTTGAAATTTATTAAAATCTAAAATTTAATGGATAAAACTTTATTTTGTTGAATAGAATTTACTTTCATGTTATTTGAAATTTTTTTTGTATGATGATAATGTATAAATATTGTGCTATAGGCTAATTCTGCTTATGAAAAACAAATTTAACATTAATAATAAATTTGATAAATTCAATACACAAAGATTTCAAATTTCACCCAGTATAAACTTATGGTAACATAACAATTGAATTAAATTTAAATGTTACATAACATTTTCAATTAATTTTTCAGTTCAAATATTTTGCATAAACATTTTGTTTAAAATGCGTTATAAAATTTCAAAATAATTACAATATAAGATTTTCTTTATTCACAGACGTTGCAATCCGAAGTTCAGGCATATCAACCTCATTTAGAGAAGTTACGCAAAATGGTAGAACCTTTGCTGCTGGATTGTTCTCCTGAATTAGCTGCAGAACTGAAACACATGATATCAGGTAGGTCTATTTTTACATTGACAAACTATTTATAGGTTTCATAACCAGTGGGATTTGGATATCACTTGATGTCAACTTGGGTTACTGTGGATTCATTATTCTTAGGAGACCAATTTTGGAAAATTTAGCATGAGTATAGGTTTAATTTAAAGTTCAACAAAGTAAAAATTTTCAACGGGTTTGTGTACAGACTTTGTCAAAACCTTGCAATCAAATATTCACAAAAATACAATTTTTTCCTCAATGAACAAAATTGGTATCCATAGAAATAAACAAATCCACAGTATTTAAGGTGGTACCAAACACCTTGACTAAAACTAATTTGGCTTGTTTAGTTTTCATTAAATTTTGACAAAATATATACTTTCACCCTTTGACAAAAATATAAAAATTTCAAAAAACTTGAACCACACACTTTATCAGAAAAATTTCATTGGATATATAGCAGTTTGACAAACACTAATTTTGATCATTGAGAAGCTTAATATTTCCTTAACAATAGAATGTGATCAAAACTTTCAGCTGATTTTTACAGAGTTATCTCCCTGTAGTGTTACGTACCACCTTAATTTCAAATGATCTCAAATGATTATTATTTTAGAAGGTTTTATTGATTTTTTTATTTTATTTATATATACATTTGAATTTGAAAACCAGAAATTTTTTTTTGCTTACATTTAAAAATAATATATTAAAAATTCTATTACAGAAGTGGAGGATAGAAATGAAGGGCTCCTTGCTGCCTTGAAACAAGAGCAAGGACAGCTGAAAGATCATGCAGCAGCCAGAAAGTTGTTTGAGACAGATGTCCAGAAAGTTGACCGATGGTGTAAAGAAACCGAGATCTCATGTTCTACAGAACCTAACCTTGAATGTGCAATACAAGTCTTAGCAGAACAAAATAAACATTATAAGGTAAATATTTTGTGTGTTAATTATATTTTATGTGAAAGGTATAATATTACATTGTTTTCCATTCTATGCATCCATCCGTCCTTCAGTCCATTCATCCTTTGGTCAGTACTGTTTCAGGTTAAAGTTTTAGTTTAACATAGTTTACCATGAATTTGTGGTCACATCAATTTGAAATCTAGTACACTTGTTCATAATGATTTGAATTTTTAAAATATATGCCAAATTAGTGTTTTAAGTGTTATACAGCCAAAACATGGTATGTCACATCCAGTTTCATACAAAAAAAAGGGTAGAAAAAAAAATATTCCCTTGAATTTTACACTTGTGGTAACCCTGCATTTCATTGCAGAAAAAAATTTCAGTCATAAACATACATCTTGGGTTATTCAAAGCACCTTTTTTTTTTTAATTTGGTGTTTCTGTAAAATATTTTCGAAACTTGATGTGACATGGTTACTAAACCTTGTAAACTGGTAAGAAAGGGGTGAATATTTGATTGGTTAACTTCCAGTGATGGTTATTTTCTAATATGCAATGAAATGTTATGTGAAATTTTGTCTGTAGTACTGGACAGAATAAAACTTTACTCATGCCAAGTATTTTTCTGTTTGTAACAAAGATGAATTCTGCATATTTTTTTGAAAAATGCTAATTTAACAAAGACTAATAAGGGAAAACAATGGTGCTATTACTCCTAAAACACAGATTTCACGGTTCAGTGATTATTGAAATATGATAAAGCCTGGACACATATTCTTTCTTACTCTTTTATTTTGTCTATTACTGGAGAGTTTGACTATTTTTCTTTCAGAATTTACAAAACACATCACAGTTATTTGCTTCACTAGTCAAAGAAGTAGAAGACAGAGGTGCCATATTTTTACCAGAAATCTATGAAGCTGACAAAGTCAAACTTGAGGGAACATTGAAATCGACAAGAGAAAAGTACAACAGGTAATACTGGACTGGATCCCAGTTATTTGACAACCTCCTTCCAATTTCTATCCTGGTAACTGTATGGATAATAAGAATAACTGATTCCTTCCTATATATTTCTGTAAAAAAATCTGAATTGGAAAATTCATGCTTCTTGTTTATCTCTTGGTTTTTCAGATAATTCTTGATAGAAGTAGGGTATCAGTACAAATTTATTTGGATTTTTTTTTATAAGATTAATAACTTTAATTTTTTCAATATGATGTGCAAGAAATTTTGATATAAAAATCCAAAGAAAAAGTTAAATTGAATTGACATGTATTGTCTTTTTTCCTTACCTTTTATCAATTTAAAAGAAAAAAAAATCCTTTCGAAAAAAAAAAAAGTATTTCAATGGACATTTTTTTTTTATTGAGAAAAATTAGTACTCAATAATATATTAATGGAATGCAAACATAATTTTTTCCTCTCAAAATTTTCTGTTTATACTTTAAAGCCAGATGGAGTTGGTACATACTTATCAAACGAAGAAATAAAACACACAATGTTTATTTAATTATTTTTACAGAGTTGCTGCCCTTATCAAAGACAGAGCAGACAGTACAGATACTGCACTGCAATCTAGATCTCAGGTCCATGAGAGTGTGACAGAGGCTACTGATTGGCTGAACAATATTCAGGACGAAATCAAACAATTACAGGGAACACCTGTTGGTCCCACTACAGAAGATGCTAACTCACTACTAGAGAAATATGAGGTATGTTATAGAAAGCGGATCTTCATAAAACACCATTTGTATCATGCTACGGTAGTTCATAAGGTAATACTGTAAATTCAGAAATTATTGCGTGCATTTATTATTGCGATTTTTTAAGAATGGACAAAAATGGGAGATTAATTATTTCTATTTCAGGAAAATCTCCATACAGATGTATGTTTCAGATATCAAAATGCAAGTTCTTATTATTGCGATACTCACACAGTCGCATTATTCGCATTAATAAAAACCTCGCAATAATTTCTGTATTTACAGTAGTCGGCTGGAAGACATGTCACCTTCCAGACACATTATTCTCAAACTCAGTGCTCTTATTCATAAATGCTTGATGCTTCATTGAAGAGGAACATTTGACCTGACTTGGGACTAAACCCATGACCTCTTTATTAATAATAATAATAATAAAAATAATAATAACAATAATCTCTATTTCAAGAGGTTAAGATAAATTAGTATAAACGTTATTCTCCCTTTTTTTGGACACCACTGAGGCAACATAAAAAATTGCTCTATAGCAACAACATTGATTAGTCGAAACAGAGTATTATATTTCACCAGTTCATGTGTTCAAACTGTTAAAGAAAAAACTTGTCCTATTTAGGTATTGTGAAAGGGCAAGTCTTGTATTATAAGTACAGGAAATATTGATGCATTATTTGGACTTTTATTGGAGAGTTCTCCTGATTTACATAGGGTGAAATTGATTTGTACTGCAAAATTTTTTAAATGAAGAATGATACATATCCAATTGGAAGTAGACAACTGTTGACTTTGTCTACTATTTTGAGTGGACACAGACTCTTATATAGGGCTGATTGATTGGTGTTTAACGCGACTTTCAAAACTATTGTGCTATTTTGTGGCGGTCAGTTTTTATTGGTGGAGGAAGCCGGAGAGAACCACCGACCTTCGGTAGGAAAACGGACAATCCTAATCAATTAAGATTGGAGTCGAGTGCACCTGCCTCGTGCAGAATTCAAACTCTCATACTCAGTGTTGACAGGATAGTGGTACAGTAGTTCAACTACTTAGACCACTCGGCCACAGAGGGCCCCAAAATATAGGGATGAAATATGGAGAAAGATATAAAACTATAGAAATGTTATATAGCTAGTGAGTAGTGACTCAACGATGGCTGAAGGAGAATTATTCAGTTTTCCAATAGTATTCAGTGATTTGTAAAGTTCTAGTGACCTATTAAAGAGATAATATATGGAGAAGCATATTACTATAGAAAGGTTATTTATTTAGTGACCTACTAACGGCAGTAGAAAGTAAAATAACAAAAATACCGAACTCCAAGGAAAACTCAAAACGGAAAGTCCCTTTTCAAATGGCAAAGTGTAAAGCTCAAACATATCAAATGAATGGAAAACAACTGTCATATTCCTGACTTGGTACAGGCATTTCCTGACTTGGTACAGGTATTTCCTGACTTGGTACAGGTATTTCCTTATGTAGAAAATGGTTGAGTAGGAGGATCATTGATTGTCAAGTAGTTTCATTGACAATTTCTTTGGGTTATTGCCTTATTGTGATATTAGATATATAAATGTTGAGGTTAATACTCTTATTGTCCATATAAGGTAAATATGATTCATATATAAAACTTTAATTGCTGTATAGCTTTCAAGTTATTTTCATCAAAATATAAAAAAAAAATTTCCAAGAAAATTAGTGCATCAAATTTTCCATTGAGATTTAACATTTTGATCTGTACATTTTTCCTTATTTCCATTCTCTTTTCTATTTTAACTTCCTCTGAGCATAATTAGATTATAAGTAGGTTTTTTTTCCAGGGAAAATTATCTTTTTTGTTAAAACAATACACTATGCAATAAAAGGATACATTTTAATTTATTTTTTGGCCTTCAACAAAACTGAAATTGTCGACATGAGGCTGTAAATGGAAGATGATATAACACTTGCATATTTCAAATATGACATCCACTGATTTACAGGCTCCTGAATTTTGACAGGCAGATAAAGAATGAGTTAACATGGATGGTTAATAAATTCACAGGCTCTTTTAACAACATCCCAATAAAAATTAGGATTTGATATCGCATTTTAATAAGAATTCTACAGATACAGCCAAACTTTCAAACCAAGTCTTTGTATCTAAGAAAATATTGCTTGCTTATTTAAGATCTGACTGACAGCTAGCCTAACGAGTACTACATTTGTAGTACTATGCAAGTTTCACAGTCATGTAATGCTAACATGTTATTGCCCTGTTAAGTAATTCATTTGTCTAATATTTATTTGTCTTTAAATAGTAGCATGAAACATATTTTAAGATATTATGAATTTCTCTTCTTATGAACTACTTTCTAATTTGAACCTTTGTTGCCTAGATGATTTTTATTTAAAGCTTTCAAATGCCATCTCATTGATGTCTACCCATATTTCTCCTTTTGTTTTTATCAGAGTATGATTAAAATAAAAAAAGCTTTATGTTAGATTTACTTGATCAATATTGATAACTTTTCAAAAGGAGGTGCTCTGCATAATTCTGCTTTAAACAAGGATGATGCAGCCTGTACCAATTTTTAAAAGTCCTGAGAGTCATAAAAGCGTACTGAATTTTCAAGAACACAGTTGTTGTTTTGGGGTGTCTGAGCACTCACAAACTTATAACATTGTATCATTCTTTCATTTTTATGTAAAGAACCTGCAGTTCAGTGGATTTTCTCTTCATGTCTTAAATTGATTTTGATGTGGTTTTCTTAAATTTCAGCAGGTTTTTTTTTTTTTTTTTTTGTAAGTTATACACGTATACTTTTTATATACTATGTATATAGTACCATCAATTGTTTGTTTTGAATTATACTACTAATTTGTGTATTGTTTGGGCTAATTAGGGCTTGCCATGAATGGCTTGCATTCATTGTTGAAAACCATACTTTTTCATTCAAGTGTTAGTATACTGGCAATCACACTCTATTACCAAATATTTGTATGGATATCAAATGAGTATAATTTTCCTTTGTTGACTTCCAAATTATTCTTCAGACTTCCCTTATTTTTCTTTAAATCAGTAATAAAAAACGAAACTGTTCACAAATAATTCTCTTGTATTATTCTGCATGCATGATTACTGTTTTCTTAGTTTCATTTGTTTCACTAACTTCAGATCTTAAATAATTAGATTCCAGGATATTCCAACTCATATAGTTTGGCCTTTGCAGTGTCTGGACAACCTTTGTCACTTACACATCCTATATAGATAGTTCTTGTTGTAGATAGAGCAAGGGAGTATGGATATATGATCCCCATGTCTTGGAGGGTATAGTAGGTAATAATTTGTCCTTGGTCAGTCAGTATATGCAATAAATGATTATCCATATCTGTAACAATGATATTATCTGATGGTAGTGTTAGTATTCCACGAGGTGTAAACGGATCGTTATCAGTGTTGATTTCAGGGAGACCCTTGTAAATCCCTAGAATGTCTCCTCCTTGTGATAAGACTACCACTCGACCTCTGTAATCATCATCTAATCTGTCCACCACAAAGATATTACCCTTACTAGTGCTGGTAATACATCTAGGATAGGTGAATAAATTTTTGTTTTTGGTTAGAAATTTAGGCAACGTAACTGATCGTTTGTTATGTTTTTCATGTTCATATTCCTCTAGTTGTTTTCCTTCCTGATCGAGTACGATAACTGCACGACTTCCTATGGCAGGGAATAACATTCCTGAAGATTTGGCTCCTATGATAACTCTGTGATCGCTGGTCACATGGATACTGATGGGATACAATGGTTTTACATCATACACGGAATCTGTTATCTGTCCTGTTATGGTGTTGATTAGTTTGAGTTTAGTCTCATCATGTGTTGTAACAAGAATGTTATTTGAATGAGTTTTTGCCATTCCATCTGTCTTAAAGTTTAAACTTCTTATAACTTCAGTACTATTCCCCCTAAGTGTGACATGTTGTAACTTGAATTTGGAATTATCGCCTATCCACATAGAACCATTAGAAAGTACTACTATATTTGTAAGATAAGTTGTATCTGATGTAAATTCTTCAGATATCTCAAACACAATCTTACTCTGCTGTTTTGGCGTTATTTCTACCTTGCCTTTATTATAGTCTTCCTCTTCTTTTAACTCATGTCCATTATGAACTTTAACACTGCACTTAAAACAGATAAGTGTATTACAAGTTGTACAGTAAAGACAACAAGCCTGGTCAAAATGTACTTCACACTGGACATCACTGAATCTGAATGTTTCCTTCGACCTTTCCTGCTTTCCTATACCTGTAATGTCCAGTATCCTATGATCATTAGCAATCCTTGAATGGACCGTGCTCTTACATTTGTCTTTGCCTTTTTTAAAGTCTTCTTCGTCAATTAACTCATGTCCATTATGAACTTTAACGCTGCACTTAAAACAGATAAGTATATTACAAGTTGTACAGTAAAGACAACAAACCTGGTCAAAATGTACTTCACACTGGACATCACTGAATCTGAATGTTTCCTTCGACCCTTCCTGCTTTCCTATACCTGTAATGTCCAGTATCCTATGATCATTAGTAATCCTTGAATGGACCGTGCCCTTACATTTTTCTTTGCCCTTATTAAAGTCTTCTTCCTCAATTAACTCATGTCCATTATGAACTTTAGCGCTGCACTTAAAACAGATAAGTGTATTACAAGTTGTACAGTAAAGACAACAATCCTGGTCAGAATGTATTTCACACTGGACATCACTGAATGTGAATGTTTCATTTGACCCTTCATGTTTTCCTATATTATTAATGTTCAGTATTTTATGATCAATAGCAATCCTTAAATGGATTGTGGCCTTACATTTCTCACATATTAGTAAGTCACATTGTAAGCATTTCCATTTTATCTTTTTCCCACTTTCACATAACTGACATCCAATTGGAATCTGACTTTTTTGTAGTGAGGTTGTGAACGCCATTTCTATATTTGAAGATGTCTGACTTTATACTTCCTTTTCTGTTTGCCTCTCATCATGTGATTTTATACTTCCCTTTTAGCTTGAAAAGGAAGTATTAAGTCAGATGAAAATTTAATATCTATTTGAATTTTTCCTTTTCTACATTTACATCTACCGGTACATCTTTAAATTGCAAACTTTCCAGGGTCTTACGCCCACCATATTTAGCATGTAATAATTACTCCAGAAACAATTTAAATTTGATCTGCATTCATTTATATGTTATGAATAAGCACCATATTGTATGACTGACTTAGGACTTATGTGATGAGGCTGTTTTTGAATGCCTCTGCATCATATTTATTTAAGAGTTTTGTTGGTAAACTGTTCCAGTTCTTGGTGGTATGTGTACGAGGAAAGCTGCTTTTGTTAGTGTAAGCAGATGATTAGAGCTCAATTAGAAGTCTCAAGGAGGTCTTTCAGATAAATTTAGTGTTGCATTTAATATTTTTATAACAGCTTCTTTTTAAATTTGAATTGAAAAATTATTTAGTGAATGATAATAATGTATAGTGATAAGTATGAATGTAAAGAGATGTTGGTTACCTAAAAAAGAATACAAATCATTTAGAGACCGCAGAATTTAGATAGAAGACTGACAGATGACTTTTTAGCTCACCTGGGCTTTTAAGTTGATGTGAGCTATTGCCATCACTTAGTGTCCCTCGTCATAGTCCTGTCCATCATCTTAAACTTTATAAAAAAAACTTCTCCTCTTAAACTACAAGACAAAACTTGGGTGAATGATCCTTAGGGTATCTAGTATAAGTTTATTTGTTTTTTTATTCATGTCCATCAAGAAACATGGCCATGGTGGCTAAAAATAGAACAGACAGGAATACATTAATTGTCTTATATCTTCAAAACTAAATTAACTAGAGAAATTGCTCACAATGTCAACTTCTACTTAGTTCTATTTCAATCAAAATTATCAGATGACTCCTTAAAGAGTTATTGCAATAACATGACCATTTTTTTGCTAGTTTTCATGTTTTTGCCTATTTACTCTAGAAGTATAATACATAGTTTATCTCAAGAACTATAAAATCATCAGCAATACATGTTATACAAAAAACAAGAATGTGCCCATAGTACACTGATGCCCCATTCGCACGATCAATTTCTATGTTCAGTAGACCGTGAAATTGGGGTTCAAACTCTAATTTGGCATTAAAATTAGAAAGATCATATCATAGGGAACATGTGTACTAAGTTTTAAGTTGATTGGACTTCAACTTCATCAAGAACTACCTTGACCAAAAACCTTAACCTGAAGCGAGACAGACAGACAAACAAACGGACGAACGAACGAATGAACGAACAGACGCACAGACCGAAAAACATAATGCCCCTCTACTATCCTAGGTGGGGCATAAAAAGCAAAATGACTAAAACCATTGGATGTGCCCTTCAAACAATTTTTGAATAACTTTTATAGTTTTGTAATTATCTTGAAAGCATTAATAGATAGATAGAAACTGTTAATAGCAAAAATGATCAGCTGTACAAGAGTACAAAAAAGCCAAATGGCTGAAACAATTTGGTGACTGATTAAGAAGTTATTATCCTAGTATCAAGATTTTTGATTAATTTTTGTGTTTTTGTATAAAAAAATAGGTACAAACTGTGCACAGCAAAAATGATCAGCAATCTAAGATGGACCAAAATAAAATAACTGATTGTGATAAAGCACAAAATTAATGTTAAAATGGCATGTCTTTTACCAGGTGAGTGATTCAGGCTCTTATGAGCCTCTAGTTTAAATAATAGTGCTTATTTATGGTCTAAATAACTTGATTCCAATGTCAACTTCATTTAGATATAAATTCAATTCATATATTTACAGGATATCAGTGAAAAGATTGCAAACTTTCAACCATCTATAGCCCAGCTGAACCAGGCAGTTGAAAGATTAAGAAGTAATGGCCAGAATGTCGAGGCAGATGAGATATTACAGCTCACGTCACAGTATGAGATGGCCATGGATAAGGTAGAACAAGAGAGTACCAAATGTAAACAGGCAGTGGCATTCAGACAGAACTATGCCACACAGAAAGCCCAGTTAGAGGCAGCTGTACAGGAGTGCGAGGATGAGATGAATGAGGTGGCTCAGTCAGGCATGCCTATTGGTGAAAGGATTGAAAGGTTTAAGGTTAGTTTGAGTAAATATCTTGTAGAAATGAGCAGCATTTATAGTGAAAACCACAAATTTGTTTTAAATAACTTTTTGAAAAATATTTTATATGCTATAAACTGGGAAATTTAAGGGCTGTCTTTCATTGGGCGATTTGGTGACTCAATTCGAATTTGCAATTTCATGGTGGTATTTGAGTATCTACGGTCCTAGTCGTATGAGTCTAGTTCCCACATAATATTCACGGTAGTTTTATTTTTTTGTTTCAACTTTTACCGTGAAAATAGAGAAAATAAAACTTCATAAAAAATTTCTCTGTTTATAGAAATCAAGAAAGGGAAATAATTTGGACTTGAAGCAGTATTTTACAAAAAATGCACAGGGACATACTCTTGTTTTCATTTTTTTTTTTAATTCTAATAATTTTTTTATACAGGCAATAACAGAGAAATTTCAGTCAATAGAACCTCTATTTATGGTTGTCAGTGATAAAGCCCAGCAACTGAGTGTTGAATCTGGTGAAGATGCTCGTCCAATCACAGACAGTGTTCAACATTTGAAATCTCACATGGATCAATTAAAGAAGCAGGCAGATAAGAAAACAAAACAGTGTGATAGAATACAGAAATCACGAACTGAGTTTGATAATTCCATTGATGATGCTATTTCATGGTTAGAACAGAAGGAAGATATTTTAGCATCATGTACTGCACAGGAAATGGAACCTGACAAGGTCATGGGGTCATTACAGAAACACAATGTAAGTATTGATGTTGATATCCTATAAGTTGACTTCAAAAGATATTTTTTTATTGAATTAAGAAGACAGATATTAGGATTAAGAAGTCAGACAAAAAATGAAGGACAGAGATTAAACTTCCTGATACAAAATAATTTTTATACAATTTGAAAAGGCACCTACGTTGACCAGTAGATATGAAGATATTCACGTTCTGGTTCTTTGTATAAACTTACTTTTAATAGAAAAAAATGGAAGAAAAAATTAAACAATTCGATGTTTTTTCTTTTTAATGTATCTAATGAATTTCATTTGGGCAAGAAAAATATTTTAAATATGGAAGATGTCATGGTAGTTGTATGAACACTTTGAATATCTCTGACATGAATATGTTATAAAAATGTATCATGCTTACAAGGAGTATTTGCCAAAAATGCTGGTTGAGAGGTATCAAAATTTCTAAATCTGTTTAGGCGAGGGAAATTTGTTTACCTCGAAACCGGTATTTTTGGCATATACACCTTGTAAGCATGATATAATATTTTAATTCCACTGAATGTTCTTTGCATCCATCTCAAAGAAAAGTCAAGAGGTTTCGGACGTCACATTATTTTTAGACATGGTATTTCCCATCTGCCGTGGTATTTGATAGCAAATACCCCGGCACATGGAATTCCATAATGCCAAATACACTGGCAGAGAAAAGAAAATCTCAATATATAGAAAATTTGTGAAAAATACCATTTCTCTCATCCAATCAAAATACAGCATTATTACACAAGGTGGAATTATAAAGAAAATACTAATTTGATAAAGGAGATGAGATATGAAGTATTATTACATGAGATTGAATGATTGATGATTGATTGATTGATTGATTGATTGATTGTTGGTTGCTTAACATCCAGTGCTATTACTTGAGAGAGACATGCTTTATATATATGTTTTACATTGTAGGCATTAGCTAGGGAGGCATTAGATAAGATAGCTGCTGTCAAAGATAAGGCTAAGTTAGAGAAAGCTCATTATGAGAAACTAGGAGAACCTATTCCAGCCACCATGCAGGACAAACTCAATCAAATACAGAGTCTAGAGGATTCTATCAAGGTAAATGCTGGGGAAAGTTCAAGCATCAAATGATGCAACAAATGAAAAAAAGACTTTTAAGACACTACACGTAAAAATTGTCAGTCTAACAGCTTTAAACAAAAAGAGATATTCATGATTTGAATCATTTCATTTCTCTATTAGTTTCCTTATACATTGTACATATTTTTCCTTCCCTTTCTTTACCAATTTATATCTCATTTGTTGTTTCAGCAGAAACTAGAATGAGTTCAACTGTAGTGTAAAAATGTTCAGAGTTATTACCATTTGGCTTATATTAACATTATTTTTTCTACTGTAGAGTAAAAATGTTCAGAGTTATTTCCCTTTGGCTTACATTAACATTTTTTTTTCTATACAATAATGTTAAAATTAGAACTTTTCCATGTTATACAGGAAGCAATTGCAAAGAAGGACAATTACTTAGAGGAGGCTAAGACAGACAGAATGCAGTTTGAGATGTCAATGAAGCAAATAAATGATTGGACAAGTGGTGCCGAAGAAATGTTAGACTCAGGATACGATGGACTAGATTATGACACGTTAACAGATACACTTAGTGAACATAGAGTAAGTTATATAGTACTCTGGATGTTGCTATGAATAAGTTGAGATATTGGATATACATAAATTGAGATATTGGATATACATAAATGAGATGGCAACTTTAAGGTAACACTACATTAAAACAAACAATTTACAAGTTTCCATACCAAAAATCACACTCTTAATCTGTTTTTTAATATACTGATTGAAAATATGCAGACATATAACTATATTTTTAGAATACACAAAATGCTTTACAATTTAAAATTTAGATAATATATGATTAGAATAAGAATATGACAATAAAGTACATGGGAAATTTATTACAACGAACAACAAAGTCTTCAAAAAAAATTAAAACCTGCTGTGGTTTGAGACTTTTTAATAAAGTATTACAGAGATTGAAAGAATTTCTTTTAGCCTGAAGGTTTAATAAGACAGTCAGTTTTAAAATGTATTTGCTTAGTCTGATTATGTTTACCTTTGTTATTATTTTTAGGACTACTTTTCTGAAGCCAGCATGTGTCAGGATGAAATGGAACAAGTTATGGAATTATCAGAACGTCTGCTTCCCACTTTAGATAATAATGATAAAGAGACATTACGACAAACTCTGAAAAATACAAATAAAAAGTTAGCTGATGTCATGGCAGCCTCACAGAGACGTCAACAATCATTAGAAAAACATGCAGAAGACTGGCAAGATTATAAGGTACAGTAATTTCAGACCTTTCCTCTGCTCCAAGAAAGAAAAAAAAACAGTGAAGTCTTGTAAATAGAAGTTAAGAAAGGGATGTGGTGATTTTAAACTATATAGCAGTATTTTTTTTTCAGTAATTAGAGATGAATAAATCAAATGTTAATCACTCAATTTAACTTGGTGAGAACTTTAATTGGCTGAAATCTTTCAGGAGTTTCTCCAAACTTCAAAGTGAATAGCAGCTCAAGTCTGAATGGCAAATTGCCTACTGTTGTAATATTTTTGTTGTTTGCATATACCTTGTTAAATTTTTTTATAAGTCATCAATTCTTTTTTTTTAAAGGACATGGTTTTCAATGTGACTGAACAACTTCAGGACTTAGAAGAACAGTGGACCACATGTGAACAGTTGCCAGTTGCCAACCCAGTCATGGTTCAACAACAACTGGCAAAATCAAAAGTAAGGAACCTAAGAATTTTAATAGATATTATTGCATTAAAACTTTTGATAGAATGATGGTTGTAAAATTGAACCCATTTTAAAGATTCACAAATAGGAAAGGAAGTTTGTGTAATTTCAATTTACATCTTTTACAGTAAAGTAACTCTAAAATTTATCCTCAACAATAGTGAATTTATATCAGTTGCTGTAAAATCAGAGGTAATTGTGTGCTTTTACGAAATTGAATTTATTATTTCAGTAAAAATATTAAAATTGATTGATTTATTTTTATACGACCGCAAAAAATTTTTCGTCGTCTGGCATCATCGTCCGAAGACACATTGGTTTTCACACTCTAACTTTAGTTTAAGTGAATGGATCTCTATGAAATTTTACCATAAGGTTCAATACCACAAAAGGAAGGTGGGGATTGATTTTAGGGGTTATGGTACCAACAGTTAAGGAATTAGGGGCCAAAAATAAGCATTTTTGTAACTTCCAGACATAACTTGTGTGTTAGTGTATGGATCTCTCTGACATTGTACCACAAGGTTCCATATCACAAAGGGAATGCTGGGATTGATTTTGGGGGTAATTGCCTCCAAATTTTAGGAATTAGGGGCCAAAAAGGGGCAAAAAACAAGCATTTTTCTAGTTTCATGACAATAACTTGTGTGTAAGTGTATGGATCTTTATGAAATTGTACTACAAGGTTCCATATCACAAAGGGAAAGCTGGAATTGAGTTTGGGGGTAATTGCCCAAAACGTTTAGGAATAAGGGACCAAAAAGGGGCAAAAAATAAGCATTTTTCTAGTTTCCAGACAATAACTTGTGTTCAAGTGTATGGCTCTCTCTGAAATTGTACTGCAAGTTACCATACAACAAAGGGAAGGCTAGGATTGAATTTGGGGGTAATTGCCTCAAAATTTTAGGAATTAGGGGCCATAAAGGGGCAAAAAAACAAGCATTTTTCTAGTTTCAGGACAATAACTTGTGTGTAAGTGTATTGATCTTTATGAAATTGTACTACAAGGTTCCATATCACAAAGGGAAAGCTGGGTTTGAGTTTGGGGGCAATTGCCCCAAACGTTTAGGAATTTGGGGCCGAAAAGGGGCCAAAAAACAAGCATTTTTTTAGTTTCCAGACAATAACTTGTGTTCAAGTGTATGGATCTCTCTGAAATTGTACTGCAAGTTACCATACCACAAAGGGAAGGCTGGGATTGAGTTTGGGGGTGATGAATCATAAGGGGGTTCAAAAAATTGGGGGGGGGGGATTTTTTTTCCTTTTTTTTCTTTAAAATTTTCCATTTTAAATTGGTTATTTCTAATTTTGACATATAAAAGCAAATAATAATGATATGGTTTGAATAGGTAAATTAAAAATTTTTAAGTTCTTAGACCACATTCATTCTGTGTCAGAAACCTATGCTGTGTCAAATATTTAATTACAATCCAAATTCAGTGCTGTATCAAGCTTGAATGTTGTGTCCATACTTGCCCCAACTGTTCAGGTTTCGACCTCTGCGGTCGTATCAAGCTGCGCCCCAGCGGAGCATTTTATTAATTTTTTGTATATTATAAAAATTGGCATTGTTGATAACATGAATTCTGAATTTTGAAATATATACTGGTACACTTTTACCATCTTGGTAACTTTCTTTATTCTGTAATTCTACCTCATTTGTTTCATTATTATTCAGTTTTATTTTAAAATTTGTATTTTTCTCTTATAGGATTTCCTCGCCAAAGTTGAGGAAGTAAGAGGTGCAATGAGTGAAATAAATGACAAGTCACATGACCTAGACAAGGATGGTAATGCTGGTAGCAGGTCCTTCATTAACAATCTGGTCGATGATCTCAATGATAGATATAATACATTAACTACTACAACAGAAAATAAACAAATGACTCTACAGGTATAATTTTAAAATACTTTTATTAAGTGTTACAAGTTAGCATGGGTTTTATGGTTTAAGAAACACAAAAATTTTAAAATACTGAAATAGCATGCATTTTTCCCAGTACTGGTACATGTATTTTGTTCTGTGCAAAATCTAAAGGTAGAAATTCAATTTTTCCTGAACAAATTCAATATTTCTTGAACACATGGTATATTTCCTGAACAAATGATATAGAAAATTAAAAAAAAATGGAAACAAAAAAATACAAAAAATTGTAATCACAAAGTGAGGTGAATAGTGTTTATGAATAAGAATAAGAATATTTATTGAATCCAATAAAAAGGCCCGTTTCTGAGCATATACACATATATATATATAGTATTAATTATACATTGATTTTTAAGATATAGTACATTAAAAATAAATGATTAAATAACAACACTCCATACCAGATGGTGTTTGAAAATAAATAAAATAGAATATTAACTCTCTCTTATTTCAAAACAAGTCTTGTATATGTGTTGCAAATGACTTTCAGTATGGTAAATAACATTGTTTTATGACTATGCATTTTTTTATACAAGTAAATTATATTTAGAAAATATTCAACTAGTATGCAAACAGAATTGTTGGATTTTTTTCTCTTTTATTGGGAATAACCATTTTATATATACCGGGTAAAGCAAATACTGATCTTGCACAATTTTATTAATGGCTCATGTTAAATTTATACTGTAAGCATATTGGTCTTAAAGTGTATTTAACTTACATTTACAGAACTTGAAGGGAACGTGGGATGAGTACACCACCCTTTTAGAGGATGTAGAGAATCTAGTCAACACAGCTGAACAGAGACTACCTACCATTGAGGTAGAATCAGCACCTAACCATGAACTACTGACACATCTCAATGAAACCAAGGTTTGTTTTTATTTAAAGTTGTGAACTGTAGGGAATATACTTTTAACAATTATAGATATCAGATATCAGAATAGAAATATATTCTTCTAATATTGCCAAATTTTTGTCAGCTTCACCTGAACTTAATATAATCAAGGCCCACCATACAGGGTGAAGTGGAGACAAAGATCTGAAATGGTTTGACCAAAGACCAAAGGATATGGATGTAAACAACTACATGTTATGGTTTGGCCTTCATCGATGAGCAAAACCTGATAGAAAGCTATAAAAAGGCCCAGGAAACAAAATATGAAACAGTTTTATTCTTGCCTTTCAAGCCAAAAATGCCAATGTTGCCGGCAAAAAAAGTTAAACAAGCAAGAGCAGTTAAATAATTTTTTTTTGTTTTTTTTGTTAGGGAGAAAAATTAACAATTTTTTTAGTAAAATATTCTAAAATTCATTATGGATTGACTTCTGAATTACAAAAGTCTTATTTTTGTTAATTAAGCAAATCTGTACTCAAATCCAAGTGAGTGAGCCTAAGATAGAGGCATTGAAGAGATGTACCGAGAACTTACAGAGAAGTCTACCTACTGCTGAAGCAAAGATTCATACACAAGAGAAACTCATGAATTTGCTGGAAAAATTGGAAAGGTAAATACTATTTTTTAGTTTCATGTAAAATAAAGTAAAAAAGTGACAATTTTTTTATCTATGTAAGTATTGTATTGAGTTATTCCCCTTTGAATATACCAATATTAATTTCCAAGTATTTATTGATGTGAAAGGAATATTGGTAATTTATTCCATTTGTAGTGTACGTTAAAGTCAACCACTTGATATAGGGGCAATTGCAATGGGTTAAATCAAATAAAAGTGAATTTCTCCAAGCAAATTAGAATGGGCATTTGTTTCGCTGAATTCTAAAATGCCATTCTAGCTCTACACAATGAAAATAATCATGAATTCATTATGCTACATAATGGTATGTGTATGTGTACAAAAATTCCAGAGAGCTCCTTTGGCTGTTTTCTTCTTTTTTTTATAATAACTTATGCATTCAATTTTATTTGCAGAATACAAGATAATGCTAATGAGTACCATGTAGCCTTACAAGAGGAGGTGGATGACAGAGGAGCATTCCAAACTGAGGCTGACCAGACTGTCCAATGGCTGGCAGAGGCTAAAATGGAGCTAGAAAGATTGGATCCTGGTAAAGAGGTGGCAGATGTTATAGAAAGAATAGAAAAACAAAAGGTGGGTACCAGGTACCGCATAAGCATTTCAAACAACATAATTATATTTTGAATAGTGTTTTAGGTTTTTGAGGGTTTTTTTTATGTTTCTGAATATTTAACACAAAGCCCTTTGTCCAATGCAAAGTTTGGCACATGCCAAACAGTGCATAACAGATTTGAATTTTTAAAGCTGATATTCCTAGAGAAATATTTTAATGCAAATCTTCTACATAAAAACTTGCTAAATTATTTCATGATTTTTTTTCTATTTTGTTTCAGGTATTACAGCAAGAAGTTGCCATACGTATGGACCAAATGGAGCAAGTCGCTCAACAGAAAAAGGCAAAATATAATGCATTAGGCAAAGACTTGCCAGAGGAACTTCTCAGACAAATAGTAGATATGAAAGCACTTGAAACAGATGTTGCCACTGTGATGAAGACAAAAGGAGAAGAATTACAGCACATTAAGGCAGATCGAGAGGAAGTCACCTCCTCACTTAAGGATGTCTCCCTCTGGTTGACTGATGCTGAACTCAGACTACAGGATAGAATCATCAACATCCCTGATAGTATTCATAATTTACAAGTAAGTTGTTTACAGTTTATGTTTATCAAATGATATTTCATAGCCGGCAAAGCAGAAATTTATAACACTAGATTCCATTCTTAGTAATCTGTTGATCATATTTACAAATGGCATGTATGTCCATTTTGTCCATTTATGTGCTTTCGCTGATTAATTGATCATTTCTTTGGACTCCCTCAGCTGGCTTGGGGTAGCATGCTTACCTTGCAGGTGGTTGTTGGTTAGATCCTCAGCTGAGACTTCAAAATTGCTATTTGCATGCAGATCATATGGCAAGTTTTTGCATAAAGGAGTAAGGCAAAGACTGGTCGCCCTGGAGAGAAAATAATGTGTTTTAATTGGGTAGCCTTTCTTATTGAGAACATATACCTTGTGAGCAAGCAGATTTAAAAATATGTGTCATCTCATTGAACTAGAACAAAACAGGGTTCACATTCATATTTTATTGACCTGTGATATATCACCTGTGACCTTAAGCAGTCATTAATCAATCAAATCATGATTTGGTTGACCATTATGAAATATCTTTTCGTAGATGACCATATATATATTCCACTTGTCATAGTCACAATCCTGTACTCTTTTCTTGACTTTGATTTTCATGAATATGACTTATCGCATTATTTTTACTTACCATAAGATTGATTGATTGATTGGTGTTTAACGCCACTTTCAACACTATTGTGCTATTTCATGGCGGTCAGTTTTTATTGGTGGAAGAAGCCTGAGAAAACCACGACCTTCGGTAGGAAAACACAATCTTAGTCAATTAAGATTAGAGTTGAGTGCACCCGCACAAGCGAGTTCGAACTCACAACCTCAGTGTTGACTGGCTAGTGATTACAGTAGTTGAACTACTTTGACCACTTGGCCGCTGAGGCCCCTCTTACCATGATAAAAACAATAAATGACAGTAGCTTACTGTTCTGGGGCACCTGAGTTAAGTTATTTTTTTAGTTTTTAGTGGGGTTTCGTGTTCCTCAATCTTTAAAGAAATTCCTTTTGAATGAGATTTGGTGGGCTAACTTATCCTTTTGAATGAGATTTGGTGGGCTAACTTATCCTTTTGAATGAGATTTGGTGGGCTAACTTATCCTTTTGAATGAGATTTGGTGGGCTAACTTATCCTTTTGAATGAGATTTGGTGGGCTAAATTATCAGTGATTTTGTTTGTTATAATGTTTTGTCATATTTATGCCAATAAGTTGCATAAATCTAAAAAATGTAATGAAGTTTTTTTTGTGTTGCAGTTGTCACAGAAACACATATATTCTTTGACTGGTAATTTTTGCAAGAATTTAGAGGTCAAAGGGTTGCCTAATTGATATGTGGTAACTTTTTAGGGCTATATACAGATGACTATATTTCTTAGGTCAAACTGACGTAAATGTTTGTTAATAAAAATTGAAAAAAAATTCACATTCACAGATAGGTTGTGAATTCTTCCCTAGCTTTTAATTTATAATTATCAAAGGTTGGACTATTATTTATTTTCTTAAAAATTAGGTCATCCTGACCTATTAATTGAAAAGGTTATGTATCTTATAAATACATTGTGGAGGTTGCATTAACTTTGGATTGTCAACTCATTGAATTTGTTTTCTTAAACTAAATATGATTTATTCATTTAAAACAATGGTGTCTTTTTTTAACCCAGCTGCATAAAAATTAATTTTTCATAAATTTTATATATTTATTGAATTCTTTATCTTATTCATATGATATTTTCCTATGCAATTACTTTTCATTCATGTTGAAATGGATCAAAGTAAAACAAATATCAAATTTTAATTGAATTGAACAAAAATCATGTTTTTTTTTTATTTTTGAGCAGAGAGATCTCAGGTTTCAGTCTTTTTATTAACCATGTAATTCTATAGTTCAGATTAAATGAGTCGTACTTTTGATATTTCCTCCATTCAACGGAACATTTATTTGAACAGTTTATCTCCAGATAATGTCTCACTGTGGAAAGTAAAATTTATGATAAAAATTAAAACCTAGTTAATTAATTACATGTTTTAAATTTAAATAGTAAGTACGAAGGTTGTTGTGTATTGGGGATATTTAAATATTTCAAAGGATTTTTGTTAGAAAAATAACTGAATGTCAGACTTCAAATTTTATCTCAAATTTCACATTAGATTTAAAGAACTGTAACATTGTTGTGTTTGTTTTTCTGTACTATATGTGATAATATTGTGGTTCCATTCTCAAACTATAGTAATGGTTGCTATAAACATACAATTATGTGACCGTCTGCCAAAAGAAGATGCAGATATTTATCAAGGCATTATCAGCATCATTTGTCTTATTAAATTTAAACCTTTTCATTGAGAATTAACACTGTTTTACTCAGGTGTTGCAATCAGAGTTTGATGACATTAAACCTGTCCTGGACAAATTACGTAAACGAGGGAGTGATTTGATCCAACATACCCCAGATTCTATAGAGAAGCAGCTTGTTCAAAAAGCTTTAGCTGATACTAATCGTCAGTGGCTAGCGGTACAAGGGAGAACTGCTGAGAGGTCACGTAAACTAGAAGACGCTAAGGACTTGTTGCAGAACTTTGATGAAGTTGCTGATTCTTTAGAGAAGTGGTTACCAGGTGCAGAGTCTCTTGTACAGAAAGATGCTACTTGGAGTAACTTTGATACTGTGAAAGAACAATTGAAACAGCACAGGGTAAGAATTTTAACACTATTAGAATTATTAGAGAAGATGCATGGTGAAGTTTTTACTACTAGGGGATGTTTAATGACCTTGACTACCCATGCGGGTCTTGCATGCTCTGTGAAATTTTTGCTCAGTCTTATAGAACTATTTACAATGTCTTAAGAGAACTGCAGTGCATTTAATTTCTATCGACAGCAATATGAAGATTCAGTATTTTATCAAAAGTATTCAACATTAAGGTGTTATATTGCAAAGGAATGAATTACCTGTTAAAGTGTCATGCCTAGCATAGCCAGTGTCCAAATTTTCCAAAAAATTTTGCAAGTTTACAGAAAATTATGATTTTCACAGATTAAACAAATTTTAGCAGCATACCTATTGAGCGTATCATTTTCTTAAGATTGAAACTTGAAAGTAACAAGCTGCAAAGTGCTAAATAATTTGTTTGCATGCTATTTTTTTTACAACATAGCAAGTGGTCCACATTTTTTCCGTGTACAATTTTCTCATAGTAAAAGTAATGATAATGTAGTCCTGCTGACTTTGCACAATTTTATTTTCTAAACTACTGTCGAAGCATTGAGATTTTTGAGTCTAAACATTTATAAATTTAATTGTTTTGTTTTTGTTATACATTGTAAAACACAAATAAAAACAATTTACCAATAATTATAGTTTCATTCATGTTTATTTTGGTTCCTTTGTTAATACAAATTTTTCAACTTGCTATTTGAATAATTTGAATACCTATATGACTTAAAATATAGTTTATTAGTTACCTGTTTAGAAATATTCAAGTTCATATAGAGCCCTCAGAAACCTGAAATGACCTTCCTCTTTTGAATATGTCCTCTTGATGAAAATCCATTAAAAAATTAGAATATTTTTTAATTTGATTTAAGGTGGTACCCAACACCTTGACATATATTAATCTGGCTCGTTTAATTTTCATAAAAATTTGACAAAATGTTTACTTTGACCCTTTGACAAAAATATAAAAATTTCAAAAAAATTGAACCAACAACTTTATCAGAAAAATTTCATTGGTTATATAGCAGTTTGACAAACACTAATTTTGATCATTGAGAAGCTTAATATTTCCTTAACAATACAACGTAATTAAAACGTTTAGCTGATTTTTACAGAGTTATCTCCCTGTAGTGTTAGGTACCACCTTAAGAATAAAATGTCAAAATTAATATTGACCAAGGGGTTTAAGGATGTTCGCTCCTCTTGTTTTTGAATTTTTGCCAGATATTCGGAATCCTCTTGTTTTATCCATGTAATGCCAATAAAAATCTTATAAAATCCTTGTTATTTTTTCATAGTTTTTGAAATAAAAAAGGTGCCAATGTTAAATGTATGAAAAATCTAGAGAGAATTATTTCCCGCCAAATTTTCAATGGCTTATATCTCGAAAACAAGCACAAGGACCCTTCAATTTTTCTTCTGTTTTAGTTTCTTTAATTATATACTATCAATTTATAACAGTCTTTTAAAAAGTTTGTTATTTTGAAACAGAATAACGAACATCCTTAACTTGGCTTATGATGCCTATCAGCGATATCAAAGATATGATTAAAATTAAAGATATACTAAGTACATAATTTGTAATTCATTTTACATGTATGAATGGTAATCATAATTTAGTTATTTATATGTCTTTGCATATATTGACACACATTGTGCATGTTCTATTTTAGATTCATATGTGCAGAAATGTTGCAATCAAATATTTTACCGATTTTAATATAGAGTTAGTTTATATTGTAAAAGTCTTTTTCACTAATGATATCTAAAAAAACTTTACCGGTAATTGAATTCATCTGTTGATAACATTTCACATGAAGTTGAAATGTATTTAGAAAGACCTATTGCACTATGAAAATTGGACTGATGTATTTAAGTGTCTTGCATAAAAAATATATTGTTTTAAAATGTATTGAAAAGAGCTTTAACCTTTTTTTTATTTTGACTGAATGTCTTTTCAGAGATAGCTATGTCAAAAATATAAATTTAAAATTAAAATTAATCATGTCTTTCTTTTATTTGACAGAAATTGACCAAAGATTTAGACCATCAGCAAGATAAACTATCTAGTCTAGGAACAATTAGTAAAAAGTTAGATCAGATTTGTGACGCCACATCTGCAAGAGATAGACTGTCTAAACTGAATAAAAGAATGTTTAATTTACATTCCAAAGGATCGGAGAAACTGAACACATTAGAAGAAATCAATGACGATATTGACGACTATGAGGACGAGCTTACTCGCCTGAGACTATGGATGGATGAGACGAGATCTCATCTCACTATGAGAGATACCACATTGACATTGAAAGAACAACTAGCAATACAAGAGGTAAGACAAATCTCATAATACTGAAATTTTTAAGAACATCCAGTAATGCGAGAACTATGCACTATAATTAGACCATTGAACTTTTGAAGAACATCAAGCTATACAAAAAGTTTGCAAAATTACACTACATTGAAAACTTGCAAGAACAACTAGCAGTATTTCTTTAATTAGCAAAGACATAATTAATAATTAATAAATAACATTAAACACGAAAAGGCCTGGAGGCTTTATGATAGATAAATGTATGGATTTTGTGTCATGAATTATTATACATTGTACTCTATCTTTTTTTTTATTTCTCATTACAGTTCTCTTAAAGATAAACTAAGCAACAAAAAAAATAGACTCATCAAGCTAATTCTTGCATCAATTTGCTGTTTACTTTAATTAATCAAATGATTTCCACTTAGTACTCACAGAGTTCCTGTGTTGTGAGTCTGTGTTTTGTTTTTCTATCCTGTTTGGTTTTCCTATCCTTAGATGCAATAATTCACCAATATCATATGATAATGCTTTTTTTTAGATATTCATTTTTTTTTAGTAGCTTTGTATACAAATTATATTATTAAAATAATTAAAACTTTTTTTCCCTTTTTTATCAGAAAATACTGGAAGACATTGATAGCCACAAAGGCAAAGCCTTACTGGTTGAACAGAAGCAGTCGGAACTGAAGTCTTTAACAGGCAAGGAGGAGCCTGAGGCCGCTTTAGCCACTGAAATGTCTGAACTGCAACACATGGCTCGGCAGCAATGTGAAGAGTTACATGAATCCATCATACAGCAGGAACAGTATGAATCAGACATTCGTCATTTGTCGTCTGCTATTACAGAAGCTCAAGACAAGCTTCTTAGTGCTCCTGTACAGGCTGCAGATGTAAACACATTGAAGAAGCAGATTGCAGAACATAATGTAAGTCATAATTTTGTTTCTATTTGCTAAATATAATTTTTATGAAGAAGTGTGGTAGAATTTATTTATTTATGAATTATGGAATTTCACATGCTACTGTTTTACATGTGCACTCAATTTGGCAACACTGGTTCTTGGAAGAGATTTTAAGTTTTACCCTTGTCTGTCTGTACGTCCCGAAAATTGGTTTCTGTTCTCTAACTTTAGTTTGCCTCTACCAAATGTTATAAATCTTATACATAATGCGTATTACCACAAAACATAAATCAAGTTCGAATTTTGGTGGCCTCAGGTTTACCGTTCTAGAATTATGCCCCTTTACAAATGGAAAAATTGCTGCTTTTTTTTTTACAAATAGCTGGCAGATGGATGATAAAAAGCCACAATAAAAATTGGGGAAAAAAAGCAAGTTCAATAAGCTTTGTGAAATTTCATGTAGAAATTGTTGATAACTGTTGATAATTCAGTTTGCTAAAATTCAGTTTATAATATATTTATTTATAATGTCTATATTTTTTAAATCTGTCATTAAATAAATGTGGGAGAGGTAGAAAAATAATGGCATGTTCTTCATACAAGTGGGCGAGTTTCCATGTAAAGTAATTGGTCCTTAACAAAATAAAAAAAAATGAACCATGAAAAATAGCTTACCTCTTTATTTACTGTAGAGTTTGCAGAAAAAAAAGCATGTGCATGACTTTCTTTTTTGAAAAAGCACCACTGCTGAGCATCATGTCATTAATTTGTCAAATATTCTTAAGTGACAGAACTCAATTTTTTTACTTTCTGAAAAGATCTTTTTAAATAAGAATACGGTGGATTCAATTATATTGGTAGGTACTAATTTCTGTTGATTGAGGAAAAATTGTGTATTTGTGGTTTAACAAATTTTGCATACATTAGTCTATAGGAAATTGTTTTTGGCAAACACTGAAAATTTTGATTACCCAAGAAATCAACAAAAATCAGTACCCCACAAATAGTGACGAATCCACAGTATAAGTAAATGGAACATTGTCATTTTGGGGCCTTTTATAAATGACTAAGCGGTATGGGTTTTACTCATTGTTGAAGGCCGTACAGTGACCTTTAGTTGTTAATTTCTGTGTCATTTGGTCTCCTGTGGAGGTTTGTCTCATTGGCAATCATACCACATCTTCTTATTTTTATATTGTGCATGTTTGTTTTGTAGAAAACTGATATTCTTGGTACTAAAACTTTTTTCGCCGCTTAAGTGACTGACTAGCTATTCCTTATTAAGAATAAATGTCCTAAATGATAAAAAACCACAATTTTAAAATTATATCAGTACAAAATGCTGTTCATGGGAAGTTTGAAGACTCACCATTATCATTTGGAAGATTTTTTTTTCAAATGAATTTCACTTTTTGACTGCATGAAGTCCAAACTAAATCTTCTCCATTGTGCTGTAGTTATTGAAGTAATTATAAAAAATATACTGTAGTTGTTGGCAATTTAAATTTATTTATTGCTAATTGGTATGCCAGTTCTTGTACATGTATAATACATAAAATATAGTCTGCATGTTGCTTTATCCATGTACTAATTTCAGGCTCTTGCATATCAAATCAAATCGTACCAGGACAAAATTAATGACATTAACGAAAAAAGTAAACATTTAAGTGACAGAAGTCTAGGAATGAGACCTGCCATGGTAGAAAAATTGTCGCAAATGGGTTATCGCTATCCATCGTCCTTGCCCTCATTAAAGGTCACTGGGGAGGCCGATAGATCAGGACCTGATAGTGGTATCTTTGTTTCACACGAGGGTTCGTTGAATGCTACACAGAGATCTGTATCTGATGCAGATTTTTCATCATCAACCATGCGGTCAAGTAAATATGGACGCTCATCTGATAAAATGGGTTCTCGTCCAGATGAACCAGGAAGTTTATCTGGTCGCTCTGACGACACAGATATCACTATAGAGAACTATCCTGGTCTGTTTGAAACCATGGATGTTAGAAAAACAAGAGGGCAAGGTCAGCCACACAGAAGTAGGTCACCATCACCTTTCTCTGAAGAAAAAATGGCCAAGCAGCATCATGAACCAGTCAAAATGTCATCACTAACACAGCCAGGCCGTGCTGGTGGCATGGGTCTTCACCGGAATGTAGCTAGTCAAAGCTTACAGCCTTTCTCTGAAATGGTAAATTGTCTATATTGAATAGTTGGGGTTAAGATAAAATTGATTTTGTTGCATGTGTTGTGTACTGAATGTATTTTGCATGCACTTTGAATGAAATTTCTCTTTTTCTGCATATTAGAATTCTCTACTTATTTTAGATAAAGGTGAAAGTTTCAAAAATCTACATTGCAGAATAACCTATTATCATACTTCAAAAGTTATTTAAATCTGGTAGTGAAACTACTATTTTTTACAAATTTATACAAATGCGTAGATATTGATCACAATGTACAAGTGTAACCTTGAAAGTAGTAATGCAAGCATTTGGTACTAATTATCAAATTATTAACTTTCCCTTTACATTTAACGGAAAAATGTTTTTAGAATATTATGTTGCATTTTGGTTAATTATTCTTATCCATTATAGTTGTTTTGAGTAACAATACACAGGGTCAGTTTTAGTTTTGGAAAATTCCTTAATAAGTATTTCATGTAATTTCTTTTTTGTCTTGTTTTGTAAGAAAATCAAATTATGTCAATTGTAAGTGATAAATGTGGATTACAGAAACAATAACATTTGAAAGGGTAATTATCTTAAAGTATCAAAATGCTGCATTACATTTAACGATATTTAGGTTTATGCTTGTACACGGTCGTAAACTTAAATTTTAAGTATTATGTTGGGAAGGAAATAATAATATAAGATTTAGAGGTAATTTTGTGACATTAACATTTCGGGAATAGGAATTTAGTTAAAAAAGATGTTTGATATTTTAATTTTAGTAGGGATATTATTACGTTATAGCTAAAGCACTGTTTGTTGTGTGGTTTTATATGTAGGCTTGCTGTTTTGTGTTGCATTATTATAAACTAGAACAAACAACTTTAGTGTCATGACTTTGATATAGTTTATTTTTCAAACTATAAATGTTGATATTATACAGCATGTTATTCTAATGAAAACATCTTTTTTCAAATTTGCATAATATTGTATTCACCGCTAAAAGTTCATTATTTGAGGGTTATTTTCTTAATTTGTTAGGGAAAAATAGCAAAACTTACCCATTTTAATTATTTTCTTCATTTCTTAGGGGAAAATAGCAAAACTTGCCCAGCTTTTTATAATTTTCTAAATTTTATTGTTGGAAAATGCAAAATTTGCCCAGCTCTAAAAATTTCCTGGCTTTCTTGTTGGAAAATAACAAAACTTGCTCAGCTCAATATTTTTCTGGATTTCTTATGGGAAAATTGCTAAACTTGCCCTGTCATTAATTTTGTTTTTTGGGGATAATATCAAAAAATTTATCAATTTAATAATTTCCTGGTTTTATTGTATGTATTTATCTCAATCAGCTGCCATTTTGCAATTAGGGCATGAATTTTTCAAAAAAAGAGTTACTGATAGACCTTGACCACACTCACTTCTTCATTGGCAGAGAAAAGTCAGATTATATATATTGAAAAGGGATGTATTGACACCAGTCCAGGAATATAGTTGGGGAGCAATCCTGTAATTTGTGGCCTTTTATGCAAAATGTTTTTTCATTTTTAAAAAAGTTGAAATTTTTTTACCTGTTTATATGGGACTTAATCATCATTTCAGATGTAAGGTGGGCAAATGTATCATGCGAATTTTGCCTCAATTTCAGATGTGAAAGTTCATTAGAAGGGAAAGTTTTCTATAACATTTTTCTTATAAAAAAAACATTATTGTACTACACAAAGTTGTTTGTTCTGACTTTTGGTGCTTGTTATATCCAGGAGGTCTCAGCTAGTGTACCTAATCTGCTACAACCAGAATTACACGGTCCACCAAGAGAAAGAAGTGCATCATTTGGTGCCAAATTAAAGCCGAAATTAGGAGAATTAGCTTTGCTGAATACCTCTTGGAATACTCTTCAACATCAGGTACTGGACATGTAGTCACATTTTTTTTTGTATCATCTTATCGTAATTCTTATTCACTGTTTCAAAATCTAATGTATTGTGGGTAATTTCATTGTTATTACCCTAATATAAGATTAGTGTCTCGTCATTGGTTGAATTCCCATTGTTTACAACGGTGTAAGCCAATTACAACGTTTTGGTCTACACTTCAGAAAATATTGCCCAGAATACTTTAAATTCTGAAACTGCGAATCAGTGTAGGTATTTTGTTGTAAATTGAACACTGCAGTTCCGCACTAAACTTTCACTTATATATTGTTAGTTTTTGTGATACATATATATATACATGCACATTAATTTTTAAATTATCACTCGTTGAAATTACTTTAAATATACTTGAATGTAGATAAACAATGTGGACAATTTTTGTGATACATACGTATACATTCACATTAATTTGAAAGTTATCACGAGTTGAAATTACATGCAGATAAACAAAATACTGGTGTCAAAACATGCTGACAGGTGATTATCGCTGCATTTCTTTGCATCCATTATTTGTATCCATAACATAATTTGAATAGATTTGTAGCTTTGGTATTTAAGGCTTTAGAATAAACTGATTAAAAATTCACAGCACATCAATTTTTTATTTTGGACTAAAAAAAACTGCTTTTAATAGGGGCAGTAGCTGTAGTTGAATAGTCAAATGAAAGTGTTCTGCTGATTTTGTCTTATCAAAGACTTATTGTAACATACTGCACTACACACCTGACTTAGATTTAAAAACTTTATCATTTGTACGCACAGTTATTGTAAACATCACATTTTATCAAAGAGAATTTATTTAAATATTATTGATATGGTGAAAATATACAAACCTTGCAGATTTTCTTTTTAAATGAAATCTAGTGGTTCTTGCCTAGGAACTGGACTCTTTCCAAATTTCTTTTGATAAAATATCTCTCCTTTTCTGATAGTTGAGTAAATTTTCTTTTTAAAACGTTGATTTTTTCTGACATTACTAAATTAAATTCATAACTGACTTAATTTGGTAGGAGGTAGAATTTACCAAAATTATTTTTTTTCCTGATTCAATATTAATTTTAGCATCGATTTAGAATTAGCTGTATATAAATCATTGATATTTCTATCAAGCTTGTAAAATTAAATAAATTAAAGACCATATTATTCAGCCGCATAAATAAACCTTTTTCAAATTATTCATCCATGAAGTGTAGAAATTTTGATTCAGCAGTACGGACGTTATTCCTATTTGTGTTCACTGAGAAAGAAAACAACATAACGGTACTTTGGCATGACATGAGGGTGATGAATACGTATACCTGGGGAAGTTGCCAAGGTCTGGTCAGGTTCAAGTTGATTATAAATTCAACCCTATGAAATGACTTAATGTTAACTATAAATGTTTTTTTCACTCTTGAAATAACGCCAGTCAAGTATATATATTGATCTATTAATATACGACTATGGTAATTTCAAAAATTTATATCTATATGGTCGTCCCATTAACCTGTACATTCTAGAGTATCTGTCATTCGGTTAACAACATTGTATTTGAGATATGCTGACTTCAAAGAAAGGGAGTTTAATTCTTCTTGTGATATGATTATTATAGAGAGGAAAATTCACTAGCTTGTTCTAAATCATTGCGTACAATGGGATTTTGATTGTGAAAGAAAAATCATTAAATTTGTTTAAAATTTTTTCTGATGGCGTAATTTATGTCCTATCATAAGCTTTAAAACACAATAGACTTTTATGATGGATAAATTTTCTATATCATGAGCCAACAATCAAAATACATCACCTGGGATTATAAATATTAAATAAACATGCTTGGCACATTCCAAAATAAGGTCAATAAACCGAATAGTGCATCAGCAGTTTATAGAGCTAAACTTGTTTCCCAACAGCTTGGAGCCAGAGAACATGAACTCCAGGTGGCCCTACAGAAACAGGAAAGGTATCAGCAATCGGTGCAGGATGTAACACTAAAAATGGAGAGGACACAGAGTAAATTGGCTCGTACTTATCCCTCATCTCTGGCGGATCTGGACAAACAGCTTAAAGACTATAAAGTAAGTGACTTAAATGAAATATAATTTGTAGCTGGCGTTCCTTTCATTTTCGTTTTTTTTTTTTTTTTTTTAAGTTGTTTCTAAAATATATTTTTTTCGACATGAATTTTGATTGTGCCCTTGGAATATCCTGACTCTTTTTTTAATAAATGTAAAAAAACAAAAAAGTTATGAAAAAAAATAGAAATAACTGTCCATTAGAGCAGAAATTGGTATTTTTAGATAGTCCCAATAATTTGTAAGGCACTTTTGTCATTTTTCTTAAAGGCATTCAAACATCAGAGAAAGGTGATTCTATTAAAAAGATCATATGAAAAAGCTATGCGCTATATGTTTTCTATAATAATTTGAAAACCACATCTCATTGAAAATTGTTGTCATAATTTACAAGAAAAAAATCAGTTTAGAGTCGTTTTAATAGTATTTTTAAATAGTTATGAATTTTAATAAAGAAAACATTACAATACTGTTCTGTATTAAGAAAGATTCTATTGTTTCAAGTTTTATATTATTGTTTCATTTAAAGAATGTAATAATTGTTTCTAGTTTCAAACCTTAAAATTAGTTTTAAAAGTCATGTCGGGACAAGTACGTGAAAAACATATTTTCACTTTTAAATTTCCAATACACTACAAGAAGAAATGTGTATTGGGTTTACTGATATGAAGTGGGCCAAAACATACCCTTCAATGTTACGGGTGGTATAATTTAAATGAAGATCACTTGTTCCATTGTTTTATGACGGACGCAGATGATACGATACCCTAAATCTGATAATTGGTCGTCTGTCATTGTGTTTAAATATCGGTTTAAATACTGAATATTTGTTTTTATTTTACCTCTTAAAAGTACTTTTGAATACTCAAAACAATTATGATATGAATTTAAGAATTTTAGCCAATATTTATTTTAGAATTTGAAGGATGTAACAGCTTATTGTAAAATCAATGTTTCCGTCACATTTTAACAAAGTTTGTTATATGTCTTTACATTTAAATTCAGGAAAGAAGCGAATAAATGAAATAAATGTTCTTGGTGAATTTCTATGTTAATGGGTCTTTGATGTAAATAAATGTTTGTGTTATTTTTCAACGTTTGAAATTGCTTCACTATTAAAACAGAACTTATTTTTCTTCATTGGATTTTTCTGCAAATAAAATTTATAAGAATTTTTTTTTCTTTCGAAAAATGATTAATCTATTTATATTTGGTATGTGTAAAGAATATGAAATTAGATAAGAAGATCAATTGCTTCTTAAATTAAGTGAACCACTGAAAAAGAATTTTTTTTCTGAATGAATATGTAATTCGTCAACAATTTTTGGTACCACTCAGGATTATTTTTAGAAGGCAGAATAATGACTTTAAACTCTCAGTATGATATAAAGATGATTTCCTGAGGAACAGATCGTTTTAATATATTGATTAATCTTATGCTTAGAATTTTTCAAAGTCATCTATACTCAAGTTTACCATACCTATTCAACTTACTTTTACTGAATATGTTAGAAAGTCCTTGACTATAATTAATTACACTTTATTGGCCTACATGTATGGGGTGGAATATGAATGTTAACCTACATTAATTGACACATTTCCCATTTCCATTCTCAATTGTATTATAGTGTAAAAATTTAATGAAATTGGTGCATGTAGTTTAAAAGTATACACTAATTTAGTTTTCCTATCTCAAAGGACTAGTGAGAGCTTATGTAATCATTCTTGACAGAAATAATGTATTTAAAGTCCTTTATATTGATTCCTCGTTCCTTTTGATTTGGATGGAGACCCAGAGCCAAATTTTAATCTTGATTGATATGTATTCAAATTTCTTATCCCTTTAACAATATGGCCAATTTTTTAAAACTTTTTTGGAATAATGATTTGGAAATCTTTTACTAAGATTCTTCTTTTTGTACTGATTCTATGGCAAACATTATGGCAATGATGCCACTAGATTTCTACGGGAAATTACATTTTCATTGTTTTCTCTGAATTTCCTTTAGCCCTAATATCCAGAAAATGTTTTAGACTTTATGAAACTACCATTGTTTTATTAAGATATTAATTTGAGAGTCTTTTTTAACAGGAATCCTTGATAGATATAGAGTCTATCAGAGAGGACATTGCCAGAGTGAGGGAGAGAGGGAGACAAATTGTAGAGATATCAGATCCTGAAGGCTATAACACTATGCAGGCCACCCTTACCATGTTAACAGACAGGGTAGATAATCTACAAGCTTTAGCAGAAGCCAAGGGCAAACAACTCCAGGTAAGAATTTTTATGTCAAATTATTTAAATGCTTTAAAGTAAATATTGATTGGCAGTACATGTACTGCACTTCTGCTGTTAGGTAAAAAATGCATGAAACCTTAACATGGAGATAAGTAAAAAGATTGTATCCAACCTTACACAAGCAAAAAAAGCTCTCAGTGATAGATTCATGACTTGCTTTTATCGATATATGATGTATATGTCTTTGAAGGAACATGCTTGGGAAAAGTTATTTATTGATTCCAATATTTCTAGTTTGAAGACAGATAACTGGTCGATGTGTTTTTGGATTCGTGGCATTATACTTTGCACACATCAAGTTAAATATGCATTTCATTTAATATTATCAAATTCTAATTGTTTGTTACCATGACATCCTTCTGCACTGTTTTAGAATTTTTAAGCTCAGTGTAAACTTGACACTTTTATATTTATTTTAAATATTCTTAATGGTTAAATTTGAAGAAATATATATAACTTCCCTTAAATGGTAAATCAATTCATTTTTAGAATAAAAGTTCAAATTACTTAACACTGTATTGAAAGCCATATGGTGACTAATAGATGCTAACATCCTTGTCATTTGGACTCTGGTGGATAGTTGTCTTATAAGCATGCATACCGCATCTCCTTATTTATATATTGCTAACTAAGGTAATATTTCTTCTGTTTGTTGAAATTATATAATTGAAGAAAATTTATTATTCTTGATGTTTTATTTTTTTTCAAAGAATGCTGTGAAGGATAAAGAAAAGCATGACATATCATTGACTGCATATAAAAAGCACCTAAAAGACCTTGAAGATTGGGTTGAAGAAATGAAAATCAGACAAGCTGCCACACCCCTACCTACAGACAGTGTTCAGTCTCTTCGTCAATATCTCCATGACAACCAAACATTGCAGGAAGAATTGAACAATCGTCTTCAGGTGGTGTCAGATCTTGCGGTGCAATGTGATGCTTTATGTGAGAGGGAAACACCCGCAAAGGCCGACAAATTACGATCTCAGTTGACAAACCTTCAAACACAGCTTGGAAATCTGAAACTAGCTGCCATAGAAAAACAAGGCCCAATTAGGGCTGCTATCAAAGAAAGTGAAAAACGGCATAAAGAAATGGATGATTATGAAAAGAAAGTTAAGAAGTTGCAAGACTGGGTAGTTGACACTAAACAATTAGCCATGGTACCTCCCAAAATAGAAACCCTCATATTACCAGAAAATCGCCAGAGTCTTCAACAGGTATGCTGATTAAGTCCCCAAAATTTTTTTTTGTCTTGTTGGAAACATCATTTTGGTGATTTTCTTAAATTGTTTATTGTCCTATCAGATTTGATATTCGTTTTTTATTGCAAATTAGAGATTGTTAAATAAATGATAAGTAAAATTGATTTCACTGTTTATAACTTCCATTTCAATGAATGGTATATTGACATTTTGGTCTTCATCTTTTTATGCCACCTCCGTAAGCGACTGCGGCAGTGTTACCCTTGATCATCCATCTTTCTGTCCGTCTGTCCATCCTATTTTCTTTGCAAAGCATTCGTGTCCTCAGACACATTCTTCTTTTAATTTTTAAACAGTTTTTATAAATAATAATACAAGTGTACAATAATATAGTCTTAAGAGTTTTAGATTTGCTTTATTAATGCAAATAAGACATGAGTAGAGATGCTTTTGATTTTATATTTCTTGATACACTTTGTAATTCAAATACACTTTACCTTATTAACATTTAGTACTGCAGTAATGATATACAATTTACATTTTTTGTAGCAACTTAGATCAGATTTATCAGAACATCGACAACTTGTGCAACAACTTTCTACTGATGCCCCATCATATCAAAGTAGGGGACCAGAATTGCCAATAGCACCACCTATAAGTGAAGAGGAACTGGTCCACAGGTGGCAAGAACTTAATGATGAGCTTAACCAGAAAAAAGAACAGTTAGAAGACCTTTTGAGAGGCAGGGGACATCTGGTAATTTATGCTTAATAATATTATGTAGAAATGAAGTCAGAATTGTAGATTATTTGTGTATCTTAAAGTACAAAATATTATAATATTATAGATGATATAACTATCCTTGGTAAAGTGTATCTTGAAGTACAAAATAACAGGATGTCATAAATAATATAACTATCCTGGAAGACTTGATGAACTTCATTATTACATGAAATGCTCAATTTAAAGAAACAAATTTGTAAATGGCCTATTCATCTGGCTAATCTCTCCATTACAATCTTTAAAGTCCTTATTTCTGTTTTCATTCAAGCATGAAAAATTTGGTTTTTATTAATTTGCAAATTTTGTCTGTAGGAGCCTAGAAGTAGTTATAGTTGGTTGTCACCATCAGACCCTCAAGGTCAACTGAATGACATTAGACATAATCTTGATGAACTCAATAACCTTTGGCAGCAGCTCAATACTCAGGTGGAAGACAAACAGTTGAGATTGGACCAAGCATTGGATTATCAACAAAAGTACCAGGATGCATTGCAAAATATCTCACAATGGCTGGATCTGGCTGAGCAGAAGATACTGTCTCCTGATAGTGATAAAGACTCTCAGCAGAAACTTAGAGAAAACGAGGTTATATATTGTTCTTGACCAAACTTAAGATATAAGGATTTTCAACACCTGGAACCTACTAAAATGATGTGCTTTTTTCCAAAATTTTGCTTACATTGTAAACAAAGCAAATTTCAAAAGAGATAATAAACCTTGCATAAGATGATTTCAGTCTTTCAAACCAAAGTACACAGGATATTTTGTATTCAAGTTCTAAGTACCTATGACTTCCCTTTTTTATTCTTAATTGTCCTTTTTCTTTAACACACACTATATCTACAATCTACATATATAATTTATATACTTAATTTTAAAGTATACAATATTGTGTGTATATTATAAAAAAGAAGATGTGGTATGATTGCCAATGAGACAACTCTCCACAAGAGACCAAATGACACAGAGATTAGTTTGTCATCATGAATTAATTTGTAAATGCTTGTTGTGTACAATCTTTTTTTTTTTGTTTTGTTTTCAGGCCTTACAAAGAGACATTAAATCCCTTCAAAATGAAATATCTGCCATGGCAAGAAATTCTCAGGACTTATTAACCTCAACAAACAGAGAATCTCAGGAACTTGTCACTTGTAGCTTGGCTAACCTAAATGAAAGGGTCCAGATGTTAGAAAACCAGGCTCAACTCCAAGGGGAGAAACTCCGACAAGCTGATCGTAAATGGAAAGAATACAGAGTAATTTTTTTCTTTATTTTTCTAAGAATATTTTGATATAGATTGTATGAAATGCAAAGTTCTGTTGGTTAAACTTTTTGTGCTGTCCAGTGGGACTTTCTTTAAATTTACTGTAAAGTACAAAGGATTTCAAAAAATTGTCTGTATGGTACTGAACCACCTCAGAGGTCTCGTGGTATAGTGTTCACCTCGAGTGTGGGAGTTTGTGGGTTAGACCCTCAACTGGGTCCAACTATAGACTTTAAAATTGGTATTTGCTGCTTCTCCGCTAAGCATGTGGCATTAAGGAGTAAGAGCAAAGATTGTTTGGCTCGAAGTCAGAATAATGTGTCTGGGTACAGTTACATGTCTTCCTGCGAACTGTTACCTTGTAAACTAGCACGTTAAAAATCCTGCTCAGTGTGTCGGTCTAGTACAAAGCAGGGTTAATATTCATATTACATTAACATGTTCTCGTCCTGAATATGCATATCAATTTGCCACTGGACGTTAAGCAGCCATCCATCATTATCTGTATGGTACTGTATATGTACACATGGTTTCAAATTTTTCATTTAATTTTTCTATGAATACATTGATTATTGAAAGCTTGTGAAATACGAAATAGAAAAATATTCATTGCTTATGTAAAATTCATTCTTGTTTTGTTAATATGCTGAGAAGGTAATTTTAAATCTTATTATAAAGGATGAAGTTCAGAGTTTACAGAGGAAGTTGGCTGAAATCAGATCTGCCATGGCAACACAAAGTCCGTCTGCTTCACTAGATGAGCTTGTATCACATATGCAGGTATGATTTATTGTCTGAAAATTCATAGTGAAAAATAAGAAACACTTTATGAAAAACTTTTCAATGAATTTGACAAAGAAATTCATGTTTTAATAAAATTAAAATGAAAAAAGGGAGACTATGAAATATTAAATTTGTCAGCAAATTGCATTATGAATGTTTGGCATGCAACTCAAAATTATATATACTGGCTTACTAGCTTAAAAAGGGGCTTATTCTTGATGAGAATTAATTTATCTAAGGATATCTTGCTTTCTTACTGTAATATGTTTTTTCATGTAACCCTTATAAAATTTAAATGTCTTACAGTTTTTTTGGGTTTTTTTTTTTTTGCTAGCATGACATTTTAAGATGTGATTCATGGCATATGAACTTGGCATGCCGCATATAAGCATATTAACATGCCTAAGAAATAGTGGAATTTGAACTTAAGTTGTTGAATTGTCTGCATTTTGTTTTTTGATAATATTTTGAAGTTGTTTGCAATAGATAATTAGTGATTTAATTCTTAGTATAATCCTTATGATTTTATTTTATAACCTTACAATTTATGTATGATTTTGTATTAGGATGCAATTTTTCGTACAGAGGTAATTTCAGAATCAATGTTGTCACCATCTTTTGAGCAATTCTTGCCATTTCACTACTTTTGCTTATGAGAGTTATTTTTCCCAAAAAAGGAATGAAAGAAAGAAATAAAAACATCAGATAAACCTATAAAAAACTATTAAATTGGAATGATAAGACCTAAAGGGAAATCACACTTGAAAAATTAAAGAGAATGCACTTTTTTGTAAGATGACAAGATTTTGCTCTATATTGAAAAAAAAAAATATACAGTAGATACAAATTTGCATGTGACCTCCCTGATAGCAATTCATTTTTTCCCCTAGTGCATGAAATGAATATGAATTGAAAAGATAGAAACTAACTGTTTCAAGTTTCAAACCCCATATAGAGGCAAGAAAAATAGATTTGAAATTATTTAACTATTACACCTGTTAGGAGTTCTAGGAAAAACAAATGTCAGCTTATCATACATTTACAACTTATAAGTCAGTTGGTTTTTTTTCTTTACAAGAAACCAAAGAAATTAATAATATTCCCAAGACAACTAAGGGTAGATAACATTTACCTACAAGATTTGACAGAAAAAATAAAAATTATCTCCCCTTAGTTGGTAGTACTGACTAACTAATGGTAAAACATTAAATGTCCATGAAAAGTAAATATGAAGTGAAGTTTGCTCTAACTTGTAAAATTTGATTACCAAGTTTTCAATTGCATTTCGATTATAAAAGGAGTTGTTTAAAAAAAATTAAAATGTAGCAAAATTCTGGTTAATTTAAGGTGGAGTCAAAGGAAATAAGCAATTTTTGATTCAAGAGCTAACTATTTTTTAAACATCATGTTACAGTCTGAAAAAATTTTTCAGGTTGATAAATAAAATACTGTACGGAGTTGTCTTAGCAGTGATACAAACACTTTTTGAAAATCTTTTATTTCTGAGTTTGGCTTTTCACACATCTGCGGCTAGCATGGTTTCAGATTTTTATTCTTGTTTTGTTTGAAAGCACTAAAGCATGATAACATTCCCTTGTTAGGCAGCTTGCTGTAAATACAGCTTTCATTAGATTAAAATAAGATACTATAAATTCGTTATTTACAACTAGTTCTAAGCTAAACACGCTGACATCACTATGAAGTGTTGTTGTCATTTATAGAAATTTTAAGTTTTGCAATAGATTGCATTAATTGACAACCTTATATACCAAGGTGTCAATTTCAGGAGACTCTATCGAGATGATTTTTGTCGAGCCTTCGACTTTAGTCGAAAAAGCAAGACATAGCGATCCTACATTCCGTCGGCGTCGTCGGCGGCGTCCACAAATATTCACTCTGTGGTTAAAGTTTTTGAAATTTTGATAACTTTCTTAAACTATCCTGGATTTCTTCCAAACTTGGACAGAAGCTTGTTTATGATCATAAGATAGTATCCAGAAGTAAATTTTGTAAAAATAAAATTCCATTTTTTCCGTATTTTACTTATAAATGGACTTAGTTTTTCTGCCGGGAAATATTACATTCACTCTGTGGTTTAAAGTTTTTAAAATTTTAATAACTTTCTTAAACTATCCTGGGTTTGTACCAAACTTGGACAGAAGCTTGTTTATGATCATAAGATAGTATCTAGAAGTAAATTTTGTAAAAAAATAAATCCATTTTTTCCTTATTTTACTTTTAAATGGACTTAGATTTTCTGCCAGGAAACAACACATTCACTCTGTGGTTAGAGTTTTTAAAATTTTAATAACTTTCCTATACTATTTTGGATTTGTACCAAACTTGGACAGAAGCTTGTTTATGATCAAAAGCTAGTATCTAGAAGGAATATTGTAAAAAAATATATCCGTATTTTACTTTTAAATGGACTTAGATTTTCTGCCAGGAAATAACATATTCACTCTGTGGTTAAAGTTTTTAAAATTTTAATAACTTTCTTATACTATTTTGGATTTGTACCAAACTTGGACAGAAGCTTGTTTATGATCAAATGCTAGTATCTAGAAGGAAATTTTGTTTTCTTCAAGTTAACATTACATTCAGTCTGCAGTTAAAGTTTTTAAACATTTATTAGATTCATAAACTATCCTGGATTTTTACCAAACTTGGACAGAAGCTTCTTTCAAGATAGTATCAAGAGGAATATTTTTATTGATTAACTTCCTCATTTTTGTTGAGCCTGCGATTAACAGAAAAAGTAGGCGAGACACTGGGTTCCGCGGAACCCTTACGAATTTTTAAATGCAATGGTTCGTTCTTTGGAGTTTAGTTCCAAATTAGTTTATTATTCCAGTTAATAAGAACTTCATAAACAATGCTTACAGCAAAGATTAGTACAAGAGTACCATGACTTTCCCAGAAAGTGTCAACTTCATAATGAAAAAAAATTGTTCGAGTGGATCTCTATTTTTACTTCCTTATGAGCTTCTTCCATCTAGTGTTTATGTCTAGAGCTGAAGATTTAAAATACAAAATTAATGAACATTGATGCAAATTTAAAGCTAGCCATAAATTGACTACCTTTTTAGCAACACCAAACCTGGACAAAGCGTAGCTAGTTACTGCATGAAAGATTATCTCCCCCCCCGAATGTAAATGTTAGTCTTAACTATTGTACTAGAATTTTTTCTATTCAAACACATTTTGCTTTTGCAAATATTTAAGATATTCATATTAGCTAAATGTCTATGGTTGTCAAACTATGTTTTTGTTACATGTTTGTCAGTAAATTAAAAAGAATTTATGTAGTTATTGTAGATTTACAGACAAAACACCATTGCACTTTCAGTCATCGATGGAAACTAAAACATTGTTTCCTGGAAAAACTAAAGCACATGGGAAAAGGACAAATTATTGCACACAAATTTAAAAAGTCTTCAAATAAAAGAGAATTTAATTCATTTAAGTGGTCAACTGTTTAAAAGTAAACATTGATTTGGACAATAAAAATAAATCTTTGATATTTTTTTTGAAGAAGTTAGAATTCAACAAATTACAAAAATACACAATCAAGCTAATGGTCATAAAATCATGACAATAATTGTAATTGTGTTTTTTTTTAGAAAATGGAGGCCCAGTTGAAGACTTGTGAGGGACAATTAAGAGATCTTCGACAAAGAGGGGAAGAGTTATCTGTTGTTGCTCCAAAGATGATTAATCCTACAGAAATCAAAGCATTACAGACTAGCTATATGGAACTGCAACAAAAGGTAACCTTTTTGAATACTTGAAAATCCTGAATCAACAGACTGTTGACAAATTATACTTGATATCATTAAATTTTTCATTATATTTAAATTATACATTTCTGGTAAGAGGTATCTTACTTAAGGAATTATGAAAATAATTTATATCTTTCATATCTAAATAATTTTATATTTATTTCAGGTGATGGACAAGAAAGCTGACATACTGCAGTCTGTGTCAGTACAGGATCAGTATGAGAAACTTCTACAGGACTATGCTGAGTTCCTGGAAACAGCCAATGAAAAACTGAAAACAGAAACCATTAATGTCAAGGACCTTCATCAACTCAAACAACAGCTGGCTGCTCATAAAGTATGTATAACATATATAGATGAGGGTCCTAAGGGGTGATTTGTGTAAGGAAGAATGTGAAAAAAAAAAAAAATTTAATGATTGTTTCTTTTTGGACATAACACCATGAGTAGCAACCTTTTAGCACAAATAATTTGAAATAAAAACTAATAAACTAATAAAGGATGAATCAAAAATGAAACTATCACTTGATGAGCTATAAGACCAAAAGGGAGTTAGAACCAAAGTTTCTAAATAATTTCTATGGTAAATTGGTTGACAGAGACAATTTTAGAAAGGTATGTTATAGGTCATGTCAATACACATGCATCTATTTTCCCTCAGTTGTAAATAACTGATAATTGTAAATATAATTTTTTTTACAGGACTTCTTCAGTGATTTGGAAGTCAATAGAGCCATGTTAGATACCCTGTCTCAACAGTGTGATAAAAATACCCAGCAATCCCATCTCTCCATGCACACACGGCTAAACAACCTGACCTACATTATCCTAGACAAAGCCAGTTTACATGGACAAAGACTTGAAAGACTCGTAAGACAATGGCAGGAATTATCTGAAAAGCATGACCAATTACATTCCTTTCTGGAAGACATTGAAAGACAAATGCCGAGACCTGTAGCAAGTAACGATTCCATTATGGCAATTCAGGAAAAGATCAGCACATACCAGAGGCTACAGAGGGAATTGACTGATGAGAAACCTATGGTGTTCCAAGTTGTTGATAAGGGGAAACAACTCTTGCACAGTGTCAACTGTCCTGGGTTGGAGGCAGAGGTCACTGAATTAGCAGAAAAATGGGTTAACCTGAATACAGCATTATCTTTAGAATTAAAGAGGTGAGTTAATGTGTCTGATGTAAAGATAAATTACCTCGTCAGTCATGGGTCTTTTGTGTCAAAGAATTTTGATATAATTTGAAATATTTCTGTTTTGAAGAAACAAAAATGTGTAACTATGTTCTTTTGATATACCTTATCCTCACATGATTTTTTTCATAAAAATGATCATTCAATTTCTTTTTAGTTCTGTTTAGTATTTTTCTTTTCTTTTCTTCAGAACTGAGAAGTTGGGAGAGCAACTTCAAGCATTTGAGGCTGAGGCAGCTGTGTTGAGAACGTGGCTACTGACAGCTAAGATGAAACTTACTGATATCAAACATTTATCTGACCAAGATCAACAGAGTATTGCCACCATAAGGAGTAAAAATGATAAACTCTTGGTAAGTTTAGAAAGCACTGAAAAATTTAAGGAAAAGTCCAAAAGATATTTTTTTATGTTTCTTGCTACCTGATTACCTTCTGTTATAACCCCAAACTCATATAAAAAACAAATACAAATATGGTATGTATTAGAACAGAGACGAATTCTTTGGGATATTTCAAGGATTTTTTTTCTGCCCTGTATATGGGCTGTTTTGGTCATGATCAATGTATATTTTATACATAAATGTTTTCATTTTTACAGGAATTCAGAAAAGAAGTAGAAAACCAAGAAGGCCTGAAGAGTAAGATTATGTTTGTTGGTAAACAGTTATCAGAAAACCAGACATATGATACTGCAGGCCTGGAGAAAAACATGGCATGGTTAGAGGAACAGTGGGGCTTACTGGAACATGATATAAACAAAGCTGAAGAGTACCTACATCAAGCTCAGATGGACCTGATGCCCTCACGTCAAGCTCTGACTGAATTGGCAACATGGCTGAATGAAATGGAGGAGGGAGTCAGACAGGAGATATCAAAGCCTGTCAAAAATATGGCCGACATTGAGATCTCCCTTAAAAAGTTCAAGGTAAATTTTCACATACTGTCGACACAAATATTGAAATTGCCAAGGCCCTGAACTGATGTTATAAAAAGTAAATAAAATTTGAAACAAAAAAAATAGTTATGCAATGTTAAAATATGAAACTAATTTTTTTGAAGTTATGTTCTGAATGAAGAAAAAAATATAAAAGAATGTCTGACACTATTTTTACATTACCAGATAATCAGTAAGAAAGGGAACCATTTTTAAAACTGATTAAGTTTGATTTAACGAAAATAAGAAACTATTTATAATTTAAAGGTTGAAAAATAGGAATTGGCATAGGATATCCATAGAAAAAATTTGAATATTATCATCTTTGCCAAATTCTGAGCTTGAAATTATACGTAGAAAATTTCAAGTATATAGAATTTGAGAAAAGTACCTTCCAATTTTCATATTCCAACTTTAAGGACATGTTTTATTAATAATTGCAGGATTTCAAAATTGAGCTCCAAAATAAGCAGTTGACTATAGATTTCGTAAACCAGTCATCTTTACAAATTGGTACCCAGGATTCAGAGTCCACATCTCACATGTCATCTGACAAAACAGAATTTGCTGAACGTCTCGGCAGTTTGAACAAACGATGGCAGGCTCTCAGCCATGATGTAAATGAACAATTGAGAACATTTGAAATGTTACAAAAGAAATGGGAAGAGTATGAATCTAGTCTGTCACGATTACAAGACTGGTTCCAGGAACAAGAGGACAAAGTTAAACAGTACCGTCTGATTGGTCATGAAATCAGTGTCAAACAAACTCAGAAGGAATCAAAGGTTCGATGATTTTTAGCGATAATCATAAGATCAGAAGCATTTTGAATAAAATTTATCAAAGTTTTAAGAAAATATACATGATACTTAAGTTGTAGATTTGGTGCTGTATGCTTTGGATATGTAGAATATAAGAAAACTAGAAGTCAAAATTGACCAGGAAAATGTGTTTTTGGTTGTAGAAATACAATTTGCATACAGTATTTTGAATTTTTGAATTTAGGGTACCGTTAATAGTTCCCTTGCACCAGTTAGAAACTAGCGTTTGATTTTTTCAAATGAAAAAATATACTTTTTTTATCACACTACCAATTATTGAAAAATCTATATTTGCTGGTATAATATTGAAAATATTTCTAGTTTCTATCATAAATGAAAGCTTGATGAAAACAGTAAGTTACTGTGGAATTTTAAAAAATCTTGGTCACTTATAGACTGTCTGACACTAATAGACAGAATAAATTATTCTGCAATCAATTTTGATAATTGACAAAGTGAATACATCTTTTTTATATTTATGATATAATAGATGCTGCAGCAAACTTTGAAAGCCAAAGAAGACGAGATAGATCACGCTCGCAGTCTTGGAGAACGATTGGTTGAACTAAGTCGCGATTCTCCTGGTTGTCAACGTAGCATTCAGTCTAGTCTAGATCACCTTAACAGAAGGTGGCAGCACCTGTATGACCAGGTACAGGATCTCCAGAGTATTTTGAATGAACTTCTGAGTCAGTGGGAAGCTTATCATAAAGAATTACAGGGAGTCAATCAGGTGTTATCAGAGACAGAATATTGCCTGAGTAGATATTCAAGTGTTGGAGCTGATCTTATCACACTGAGGATGCAAGTGGAAAAATTAAAGGTTAGTAGATATTTTGATTTCAATACTTCACATATGTTAGGCCAGTTTTTGGATTACATAGAAAATATAATAATATAAATGCTAAAAATTAAATCAAAATTAGAAATAATCATTGATGATTTGGATGTTGCCATCTTTTTTCAAGAAATATTATCCAAACTACAATTTAAGAAAATCTGATTAAGAATCATTTATGGATGATTTTTATTGCTTTATAGCTTATTTCCTATTGAAAAAACTTTGAAAAAAAATAAATGCTGAATTTTTTATACCAGTACAAACCCTGATCAGTGGGGATTTTGTTAACTCAAAGGGTCACCCAAGTTCACTCAAGTTATGAAAGAAGCATAAAAATAAGAAATGTCTTTCTGTATTACAGGGTCTTCAAAGTGATGTAAATAAGAATACACAGAAATATGACAGATGTTTGGCTTTAGGTTCTCAGTTGATGCAGGTCTGTGAGACTCCAGCCAAACAAGACATACAGAAGAATCTGGCAGATTTACAGAGCAGGTTTGTTCTTTGTCCTTTTCAATTATCTGTGTACAGCAGTTGAAAATCTTATTTTTTATATCACAACATGGAATATTAGAGAATCAATCAATGTTGTGCTAATAACTAATTGTCAAGTGTCAAAAGTGAGGCGAAAGATACAAATGGGACATTCAAACCCATTAGTTTAAAATAAACTGACGCCATGGCTAAAAATGAATAAGACAAACAAACAACAGTACACAAAACTCAACATGGAAAACTAAAGACTGAGCAACACAAACCCCACCAAAAACCGTCAAATGTCCTTTTTGTGCTGCTATAAGCATCATAGATAGCAATAAAAGAATAATTGGGTTATGCATCAAATAAACCGCGACCTAACTGCAAATGAAAAAAACCCAACTGAAGACAATTAGTAGTCCAAAAACGAATCGACCGATGTCTATATCATATATTAAGCTCTGAATCGATCTGAGTCTAAATAATTTGGGAATGAATTTAATAATGCCAAATAAAAAATATGATTAAAGAAAATCACAAGCGAGGTTCTTGCCTTCTTGAATGGTGTTTCGGTTGTCACTATTATGGCTATATATGATGATAACTGATATCCAATGTATTCAAGGATAAAGGAAGAAAATAAGAACTGGTCTATATTACTACAGATCTAGAAATTAAGGTCACAGTTCATTGGTAAATTGGGATTTTTTATAATGACCAAAACAATTTTTTTATTGAAGGTGGCAAAGCATGACGGGTGATCTCCGCGACAGATTAGCCATGTTTGAAGCATGCTTAACTCAATGGCAACAGTATGAACAAGAATATAACAAAGCCAGAAGATGGCTTGATGCCAAAGAGAGGCTCTGTAATGAACTGGTAGCCATTAGGGAAGATAGCAGTAGGAGGGATGAGTGCCTACAAGAGAGCAAGGTTTGTTTTATGCTGTGTTATCATGTTGAAAATCATATGCTAATGCCCCTGTAACCAGTTTTTCCTGCAACTGCTCAGTTTAGTTATGATTTTATTCAGAGCAATTTAAAAAAAGTAAGGTGTTGAACTCTGATTTGTATTAAAATTTGTGATGTTTTTTATTCTCTATGAAATTCAAAAATTTAAATGCTTTAAATAAAAGTTCTTTTACACTACAGATCTTGAAAATGGAAAAAAAAACAAGAGTTATTGCGATTAAGATTGCATTGATTTATATTAGGTAGAAGATAAGAGGCTGTATCTCCTTAAACAATATCGAAAAACTGAACATAACAAATCTGTTTATTATAAAGTTGACTAATTCAGTGTTATTATTTTTTTTAATTTTTAGACTCTACAACGAGATCTGGACAACTTCCAAACACAATTATCTAGTCTTTACCATCTAAGTGATTCCGTAACTAAAAACATGGACAATTCATCAATCGTTAATCTTACCTCACGTCTTTCATCATTGGACCAAAGAGTCATGGCATTAAGACAAATCTTATCAAAACAAGTAGAAGCATTACAAGGTGACTTATCACAGCGACAGAGATTCAAAGTATTGTTCGATTCAGTGACAGCCTTCGTGAATCGGGCGGCAAGGACACTTGGTGAAGCAGAACCGGTAAAGACTTCAGACACATTAGTGTTACAAAGTCGACATGAGAAACTTAAACATTTAACCTCAGAATTTGCTGATAATATGACAGAACTAGACAATTTGAATGATCTTGGATATAGACTTGCCCTCGATGAGACTAGTGCTATTAACTTACGAGAACTGAACCATAAATGGCATGAATTATATAGTGAGGCTAAGGAAAGGAGTAAGGACGTGCAAGGTCATTTACTTGCACAACAAGATTTCACTGGTAAATGTGACACTTGGATGACCTTCTTAGCTGAAACTGAGCAAGATCTGTCCACAGAAATTGGCAGCAATTTACCAGAACTAGTCAGTCAGCTCAGAAAATGTGAGGTAAATTAGACGAGTTCACTAAACTTTCATATTTCATGATTCTTTATAATAGAAGAGATCTGTAATATGGAATGAAAGAAATTCTCAATCTTTTTCATTATGTACAATATATGATCTACCCTAATTCGCAAAATGGCATTAAATAGTCAAAAGCAATCTAAACCCAACACAAACTTATTTCAAATCATGACTGTTTCATAAAGCAGAGATCATAGTTTCAGTCCTCTGTAGGCAATAATATATTTTATTGTACTTCATGTTAAAATGCCAGATTTTGAATGGCTTATACGAGGGAGATAATTTACTATATCCCATGGCTCAACGGATGTCAATTTTATGAATGGAACCCTCTTGTGCAGGCCAACACAATCTGCAATTTAAAGGACAATGAATTGAATTTACATCAGTAATTTTAAAGACAATGCTTAAGTTCTACGTTTTATATAAAAGATACATCTTGCTTTACTTTTGTTGTTTTTCTAATAACTGTTACATTGTTATGTACATGACGTCATAGTCAATTAATTTCAATTTAAAATTTTAAAGACAATAATGGTAGAACATTCAGTATAATAAATTAAATAACACATAGTCGAGAGAGTAATAGAGCTTTGCCTTTGTGACAATGTTTTCTCAGGGTAACAATCTGCTCTATAAGTTACACTCTCAGTTACTGTGGATTCATTAATATTCGTTGAATACCAATTTTCGTGGATTTCGTAGGTACAGGGGAACCACGAAATTCAAATGTTCAATGAATTGCTAATTGTGTAAAGGAATGTATGCAAACTTTGCCAAAACCACGAAATTAAATATCCACGAAAATGCAAGTTTTCCTCAATCCACGAAAATAAATGAATCCACAGTATGTGTTATTTGTATATTGTTTGTGACTTCAGATCATACATAATGTAATTGTAAGGTTGTAAATTCTTAGGCAAAGTTGATCTTAGACAATTTTTAACGTTCTGTTGACCATTTTCTTTATTTTGTTTCACAGAAATTTGAGTCAGATATGTATAGTAAACAACAAATCCTCCATGCCATTATCAGTGATGGTCAGAAAATGATGAAAGATGGTGAAGTTGAAAACAAGAAAGAATTCCAAAATAAACTCCATCTATTGGCTGAGCAGTGGCAGAGTGTGGTCCGAAGAGCCAATCAGAGAAAGTCTATCATAGAGTCCTCCATAAAGCAGTGGAGAGATTTCAATGATCTTACAGAGAAGCTTCGTGATTGGTTGGCCAATAAAGAGTATGCAATGACAGCATTTGATGTTGATTCTGTGTCACTGCAAAAAGTCAAGAATATATTAGAAAAAGCTCAGGTTAGTAAAGAAATAAGGGTAATTTTAATGGATATGTTTTACTGGATTCTGTGAACAGTTACTTTTTGAACAAATTTGTAAGTTACTTATAAGCACTAAATTTCTCCAATTAATTTTCTCTATAGAAAATTAGGTTTTCTTTAACTATTCAAGACTTTTAGAATGAAAGAAGATTTAGGAAAACATTTTTTTTTTTTCAAATTTCAATTTTTATTCTATAACAAAATTATTTATGTGTTTATTATTTTAGGTAAAAGCTGAAACTAGGGTTATATTTAAAAATTGCTCCATGTTAATCTCCTTAAAATGTTTTCTTATTATTTTCCATTCAAACAGAACATGCAAAATGAATTCAAACTGCAGGAAGAATCACTGAAGCAGATAAAGGAACATTCCAAGCCATTGTTACAGAACGGCAATGATAAAGCCAGGGAACAAATCAGAGTCAGTACGGCACAGTTACAACAACACTGGCACCAACTTAACACCAAATTAGATGAACAGTGTAAACATCTGGAAGGAGTGTTAAAACAGTGGCAGGAGTGTGAAGGGGAGATTGAGGACATTCTATCCTGGTTAAAAGACACACGACAAACTCTCACAGCAGAGTTACCTACTGCATATGATCAATTGCAGGCTGAACTCAGTAAATGCAAGGTGCGTTTGAAAGTATTATTAGATTGTATGAACATGAAGGGTTGAATAGAGAAAAAAATTATGGTAATATTTTTAAAAAATAGTATAAAGAATAAACCTTCGCATTAATTTGTGTAGTCATGAATAAGTTGAAAATTTTAATGATGTCAAAAGGATAATTATACTATTTTATGTGAATAATGTGTAATGAAAACTATTTAAAAACATGAAAATAAATTTTACATCAGTTAGATTCAGACTGAGAAAGACTATTTAAGGTCTGCTTTCAAAATAATCTATAGAAGGTTCAAGTTTTGTGCTCTGTATTGAAGGCCTCACTTTGGGAAAATTTTGTTTGAATTATTTTATATTTTATAAAATTTTAGGACATTGAAGCTGAATTTGCAAACAGTGAACCTAAAAAACAATCTCTGTTGGAAAAAGAACGAAAGTTAGGGGAGATAATTCAACCAGAAGATTTGAATGTTTTGCACCAGAGGATAAGATTACTCAACAAACAGTGGGATGAACTACGCAATCAGGCACTATTACGACAACAGAAAATAACTGACAATATGTGCCGCTGGGGAAGCTTTAGCGATCGTGTCAGGGAAATGCATGACTGGATGGAAAAAATGGAAATCAAGGTCGTTTCTAGTCAAGAATATCATATTGAGGACTTGTTACGCAAACTGCAGCAGGTAAAATTTCATTTAGTACTATTAAAAATGTGCATATTGATAAAAACCATACATCATTATTTAAGTCACATTTTGATATTATTCATATAATCTGATTTTTTTTAATCATGTGTCGTCTGCTGAATTTCATTTCATTTGGTTGACTCTCATTTTGCTTTCTTTTACACTGTACATTATCATTTGCCCTTCTTAGGCATTCTTTATTAATGAAAATCTCTGAAAAAACAAAAAAAAGAAGAAGAAAATGTGGTGTGATTACCATTGAGACAACTCTCCACCAGCGACCAAATGACGCAGAAGGTTAGCAAGTATAGTTCACTGTACAGCCTTCTAAAGCATTTTTTTTCTTCAAATTCTTAGTAGTTGGACTTAAATCTTTAACAATAAGAATTTATATCGTCAGTAATGATACATTTTAATTCATTGTATTTTATTTGCTATAAAGAAAGAGGTAAGGAAGGTGTTATGTCACTAATGCATGTTTTCGTCAATTCTAAAATGATGTCAGAATGTCACGAGCTTTTCCCCTTTTTTCACATTGTCATATTAACTTCACTTTATGTTTTAAAATGTCCGTCCCTTTTCATTCACTGCCTTTCACAAATTTATAAGTAGTCAAAGGTCTCAGTTTCAAAATTAACGAATGTAAAAAAGTCTTAGTCACAAGATTTGCAAACAGTAAAAAGTCTTAGTCACAATTTACAAGTAGTCAGAAGCTGCAGTCACAAATTACAAGTAGAAATCATGTTCACAGAATTTACAAACAATTCAAAGTTTTAAACACAAAATTTTATGACGAGGAAAAAATCTTGGTCACAAAATTGTAAAGTCATCAAAAGTCTTAATCTCAGTAAATTGAAGTTGTCAAAAGTTGCCGTCACAAAATTTTTCAGATGTCAAAATTTTTTAGATGTCAAAAATCTTAAACATTAATTTCAAGAAAAGTCTGAATCACAAAATCTGTGATATTATTCTGTATAAGTCCATCATTTAGTTTGATCTGTTGATAATTCCTCATACAGATAATATAACAATGAAAGTTTATTTTACAATATTGTAAGAAACAGAAATCTTTTGAAAGAACTAATCCATTACTACCTGTATTTAGAATACTTTGGAGAACAGTAATGGTTTATATGTTTCAAAAATTGTTGGTTTACTTGTAAATGCACAGTTCTCTCCATAACACTGGATTAACAAATGATTTTTATGATAAATATAATTGTAAAGTATCTCATCGATAGATTAAAGAATTCCATTTAAATGAATTATGGATCTGCACTCATTCATAGCATACCTGTAGTCACCTGTATCATTTTATCATTGAATAACCTCAAAAGGTCAAAAGGTACTGTATTTACAAATACTATATAGTATATATTTTGTTATACCAGAGAGTTAAAGATGCACATTCAGTCAACACTGATAAAATGGTGAAAATTTGGTTTTGGTGGTGTTAAATGAATAACAGATATTGTAATAAAATATTAGAAACTACTTTTAGAATCAAACTGGAATATATTGCATTTGTGTCATAGAAAGGTTTATTGGGTTAACATTGTTCTAATTTATCATAGTAATTAGAAATTTAGTAAAATTATGAAGAATTTGTTGTAAACATATTTTCTTACAACAAATCAAGTCTATTCAGAAAGTATATCTGTTGACAAACTTGATCTATTGACCAGTTATATTGGAGTAAGATATTTTTCTTAATCCAAACCAGGATACTCTTTACTGTACATAAAAAATTGTATCCAATTCCTTGTAATAGATTATACATGTAATAACAATTTGTAGAATTTAAATAAGGTATAATTAATTTGGTTATAATATTATAGATTTAACAGGGTTTTGGTGATTATTTCTTGCCAAATATTTAAACCAAATATGGCAAGTGTATGACTTCTTTCCATATTCATGATTGGACTATAATATTGGATCCAATAAAATGCTATATACTCACAGATTTGAATCACACATTTATGAATAAATCATGGAACCGAGTGAGCTATAAATCTCAATTTGATTAATGTAAATTGTTAGTCACTGTTTTCAAAATTGAAACAAAATGTCTTTCCTGTAAATTTCTGTTGTTCTGACATTAAAATATTTATACCATCATAAAATATCCTCATCTTTCAAGTATTTGATATTAATAGTAAAAGAATACTGTTTTCCCCTTTTAACAGGATTACAGAGATGAAATGGCTGACAAGGAATCTGTAAAAATGGAACTAGTGACCCAAGGTCAACAATTAGCTAAAATCAGTAGCGAAGTACGAGCAGCAGACATCGAGGGAAAACTTCTGAGGTTAGAGGACAAATGGCAACATGTCACCTCTGTGATGTCCTTCAGGTATGTTATAGTAAATCAGACAACATATAGCAATGGGGAATTAGGGGGTGGGGTGACTACCTTGATGTCTTTTGTCTGTATCTTCAATCTATATTTTGTTGAAATTTAGCCATAACCTAAAGCACCTAATGAAAATGTGCCCCTGCTGTAGGCGAAGGGGGCATTAAGTGTTACCCTTGACCTTCTGTCTTTCTGTCTTTCCGTCTGTCTGTCCCATTTTCTTTGCAAAGCTTGAGCAAGTGCATTATTGGTGTCCTCATACACATTCTTGTTTTATTATATTAGAATTTTAGAAGCAGTTCAATTTCCAAGCAATGCTCAATAGTCATTACATTTTTGAAAAAGACAATATCCCCTCTTATTTTTCTACCCTTTCATAAAAGTGATACTTACAGAAGTCAGAGAGTTAACACTCATATAATTTTGATACATGTTTAAAGGTGTCTGAATTTTTAATGCTTCATATTTTCTCAACTTGAGGACAGTTGTATTCATATTACAATGTTATTTGTTTTTTCAGACAAAGAAAATTACAGGAAACATTGTTAGCAGTACAACAGTTAGACAGCAGCATGGCTAACTTGAGGAAATGGCTTGCTAGTGTTGAACATGACTTAAGCACACCTATTATATACAGAGAATGTAGTTTACTAGAAATACAACAAAATCTACAGCATCAACAGGTAGGGGAAATTACTCTACTTACACAAGACCTTTAAGAAGAAAACTAATAAATCATACACTACAGTATCATCAGTTAATCTGATTTTGTTGGAAAATGACGCTATCAGCGGCATGTTTCCGATACCATTGACCAGAACTAACGGAAGTTGATTATGCCTCCGCCTACCGCACTCGGTTTCATATTTACTATTTTACATACTAACTGGAATCTGCTTGTATTACGCTACACTCGAACAAAGTCTTTGTTAAAGTGTTGTAGTCGGACGGGAACCAGTTTACATACGTTATTTTATTTACCAAAAAGATATCTTGACCTGTCCATATGTTTTTTGTTATTAAATGGTATTTGGAGCTATCCCTTTGTTATATTTTTCATATTTATTCGAGCTTTCACTTTTATGCACATGTCTTACAATCGTAAACAATCGGTATGTATACATGATAAATAGATCCGTTTTGTTATGGTGTTGGACTTTTTACCCTCCAATGATCAGCAATCGCTAGACAAAATAGTTCTCCTAAATAATGTCAGCCTTTCATGCCATTTCAACTTTACAATCATTAAAAAAGTAATAATCGGAATCATTTTGATATCCATTGGATAGAAACTGGTCTTTATCAAGATTTACGAAGATTTTAATAATCGGAAATTAGTAATACGGTTATACCCACGCGGTGCGTATGAATCTTTGTTCACAAAGTTATAGCAGCAGAGTCTGTAACTGTATCATTATTAATTATTAATTAACTACACTGTTATTGTACTTAAAATGATGAAAACTGCATATGCAATATAAGATGTTAACTCGGCCAATACAGATTTTTTTTCCGTATTGGCCGAGTTCTGATCCGGCCAAAACAGGATTTCGGAACGTCTCTAGTTTTTAGATCGTAAGTCACGATAAACTCAAACTGAAAGTAAACAGTTGTTTGTACGACGCAGTATTTATTTACTCACCATAAACAAGCTGAAACGTTCAGTATGGCATATATTTTAGGTTAAAGACGGTCCCATTCATTTGAAAAGCATTTTGAAAGTAGACGATGGAATTATTTCAGGTTTAGGGAACGAGTAAATTATCACAAAGTTCATTTCTTGACGACCTCATAATTTCATCATGTCGATTTTTACTGTTCACTTTCGCTTTGGTCAATTTGCTTATGGATAGTTGTATCAATTTCAACTCTTACATTATTTTTTTTAAAAATATATTTGCATTACACATGCAATGGCAGTACCTTTCCAATTACTATTTATGTGTTGTGTCTAAATTAAAGTTGTAACACTTTATAGTGACTGGAAAGGGTAGAAAAATTCATCAGATGAGAAAAGGCTGAAGATGCATGGAAACGGCACCAAATCATTAGATATTGCATCTTATAAAAAGAAACTGAGATTTGGATAGTTCCACTTCAAGGTAAAAATGTTTATCTTTTGTGAAATGAAATAAAAAAATATTGTAACACTGTAGTTAATTAATAAAGACACTATTACATGTATTTCTGTATTGGCCTTATTGTTGGTCCTCGGCCAGCAGTATTGGCCTTCGGCTTCGCCTCAGACCAATTCACCAAGACATGGACCAATAACAAGGACAATACAGAAATACTTACGCAATAATATTATAGAATGACAGTATGGTTCAATAGCGGGAATCAGCCCCTCAACTACTTTTTACATAAATATTAACTTCTGGCTTCAACTCCTTGTTCGTCTTGTCTGGAGATCTTGTTGTAGTTCCAGTTAGGCAAGCATTTTAGAGACGTATCCCGTCCATCCTCTCTTGACTTGTAATTTCTGGTGATAGATTTTGCCGCTTGACGTTGTATCTTTTCAAGCTTGTTTTTTTTTTTTGTTACCGTGTAGGGGTCCCATACTATGGCTCCATATTAAATTGTAAGATCCATTCCTAAAGGTCTAGATCATTGTTCTAATCTGACACAAATTTCAATAACTGGAATGCTACCCGAGTTGAATATATGGTGACCTACTAGAACAGCATTATCACTATTGGAATTGTGTTTAATACCATGATTGTTCAATGTCATTAACTTAAATGGAGACAGACATTTGACCTGAAAGGTGGTGTGGGAGTGCAAAATCAAAAACTAACTGACTATGATATATGGTTAAAGAATGAATATCAATTACATGGGTCAACATGGTCAAGGGCAGAGTTGTTATGAAATAACAATATGGCAGAGAAGTGGTTTCAAGTTTCATATAAAGCGACCTGACTGACATGAAATAAAAAATCAAAGGAGTATCCCTATTTGTCTAATCTTCAAGGTGAAATAAAACTAGTAAAACAATATTATACTATTGTCTAAATCTACAGAAATATAATTTGCTTCAAGTAACAGAAATAACTAGGTCACTAGTAACTTATTTAATGAGTATGTGGGGTATAAGAGCTTGATAACAACAGGCTCTTCATAATCATTTGGTTTGAAAAGGATACTAGTAGTCTATATTCTTGATTTAGAAAAATGTAATTGCAAGACAAAAATCACATTACTTAGAATACTTTAGATCATTCAGGTAGTCTTTATTTATATGTACAAAAGAACAGCCAGTAGTCATTGGATATTGTAGATCATTCAAATAGTCTTGACCTATTTATTAGTACAAAAGAACAGCCAGTAGTCATTGGATATTGTAGATCATTGTGGTAGTCTTGACCTATTTATTTATAGAAAAAAACAGCCAGTAGTCATTGGATACTGTAGATCATTCAGGTAGTCTTGACCTATACATTTGTACTAAAAAAACAGCCAGTTGTCATCTTCACATAACACACACATATACGAATATCAATTATATGCTTATGAGACATGTTGGAATGTTAAACTAATTACGGTATGTGAAAATCAAGACTTGCATAAAAAATATCACAATATTAGAGACAGTGGCGTCATTTTTCCTCAGAGCTTTCAGCTCTTTGATTATGATCTGGTTGTTGTTTAACTATTTTTCAACAATTTTACACTTAACTAGTGTTGCCTGTTTTTTTTATTACATACAATTTGAAAAAAATATTTTATTTTTAAATTGAAATTGCTTCAAAATTTTAAAAGTATAATTCACCTTGACCTTGCAACTATTTATGATTAAATATATAATATTAATATAAGATTCATAAGAATACATAACACACATTTTCTGTCCTTTTTAAAGCTACCCAGGTAATTATATTTTTTTCGCTCTCAGAACTTTTTGAACTAAGTGTTCCTGATGCAAGTTTATCCAGAAAATCTTTTGAAATGCAGTAAATCTGGTACCCTGAGTTTCAGCACTGATCTTATAGCAACATATTTGATTTTGTAGGAGATACAGAAAGATATAGAGCACCATAGTGCTGGAGTAGGATCTGTTCTGAATCTCTGTGAGGTGCTGTTACACGATACTGATGCCTGTCCATCAGAGAAAGAATTTGAAGCCTTGCAAACTGCCATGAAATCCCTGGATAAAAGGTGGAGGACCATCTGTAAACTGTCACCTGACATGAGAGTCAGGTGAGTAAAAAGGGTCATGTGACTCGTTACAGAGAAATTATTTACCTCTCTATTGTTGAAGACTTTATGTTGACCTCTGTATGATTTTTTATTTTTTGTGTTATTGGATTTAGTTCTCATTGACAGATAATGCTCCATATCTCTTTTTATTCATATATGTTATTATTGTTCATGGTCAATTTGATTCAGAATGCATCTAGAGCCTTTAAAAACTAATCAGATAATTTGATCAAGCTATCTTAAGTAAATTTACCCAAATGAAGCTGTTTCATTTGAGCAATTTGATTTTTGGAACTGACAACTTTCTAAAAAGGTTCTGTTTCCTTCTTCCTTGAATTGACCAAGAACAATAAAATTAGTTAACACTAGAATGATTTATGATGTAGTTTTGTTTTAATCTTTAAATACAGATTATATCAAGCAGTATGCACATAAAATGTAACTTTAGATTATATTATAAAATTTAATAAAAATTTGTATACTATTAAACAGATAAAAAAGTATTTAAACACTTATCCACCAGTTCAAAAGGTAACAATCTTAGTTTTAAGTCATCAACTATTACCATCCATAGATTAGCACTCAATATACTAAGTCTAACATTGTTTGAATTTATAGCAGATAATTTAACAGACAACACTCTAGATATACAGTGCAACCTGTCATAAGTGAACCCAGATAATTCTTTAGGACTGAAAATTTTGTTCAGATTAGACAGGTGCTCTGTATAAACTGGTTAAGAGAGTTTGAAGAATATTTAGGGTATACCCTTATACAAGTGTTCATTTTAGGCAGATTTACTGTTTTTGAAGGTTCAAGTTAGATAGGTCTCACTGTATAAACTTTTCAAGGATATTTTATTATTTGAACAGAATTGAAGAGACATGGGGATTGTGGCAGGACTTACTTGATGATTGTAAGAAGTTCTGTAACTGGTTAGATGACAAAGAGAGAGAAGTTAGTGATCTCTGTCTAGATACACCCTCTATAGGACCTACCAAAGAAGAAGTAGTAAAATTTGAGGTAAGCTTATAACAATACTGTTTTGAAATAATTATGAAATCAGAACTTGATATTGGTGGGGTCCAAAGACAAAGATGCTTTCTTTCTTTTTACAATGGTCTCTTAGATTAATGAAAACAAATGAAAGTTATTCAGGTGTCTTAAAAAAAATTTACTTTTCCAAGTTTGGAAATTTTGTCTTGACGTCTGATTTTTATCAAAAACTACTTTTCATGAAATAGAATATACCTGTTGCAAGACAGTTAACTAATGCTTGTATTAGTATGTCTGTAAGGCATTATAATTTTTGAAAAAATTTAAAAAAAATATTTTAGTAAGAGTTTATTTCTATTATTTACAGCCTTCAGTGGAATAGGTTACAAAGAACATTGTATAACTTCATATTTTAAAAATGGAAAATCACAATTTGTTTTTGTAAGTATTTGATTTATATTCTTATTTACTTATTCTTCAGTTCATACAGAAAGAAATCCATGAAAAATTATCCCAATTAGAGGACATAAACAAACAGTATAGAAAGTTGGCGAGAGAGGGCAGAACTGACCACTCAGGGTTACTCAAACAGAAAATGCAAGACGCCAATGACCGATGGGACAAACTACAGCAGTATGTCTCATCCATCATGAGAGGAATGAAGCAGTCCGCCAATTTACGACAAGATTTCAATCACAACCGAGATTTGATGTACACCTGGTTGACACAGGTTCAAGTTCAGCAGACCAACATAGAGCACCTGTCTTCCATGGATGTTCCAAACAAACTCAGGGAAATAGAGGTCAGTAATCTTTACTTTTTTTACATGGTCTTTTTAAATCTCAATTTCATTATTTGAAAAGAGTATGTACATCTAAATTTAGATGTTATATACACCACTAGCACTCATTTAAAAATTAAAACAACAACAAAAAGCCAAAAAGCCAAAAAAACAGTTGATTATTACTAATGCCCTTCATTTGAGAAAAGTACCAAACATTAAGGTAATGCATTTTAGAATTAGAAGGGGGAGTGGTGTTGTAAATTGACATTTGTTTTTAAATAAGCCAGTTCAAAATAAATCAGAGGATACTTGGACAACTCATGTGAAAACTTGCAAAGATTGGCAAAAATTGACATCTTGCTAAACATTTGGTTAAAAATAGAATAGTCTTTGGATTAATTTTTTTTTTTTTTTTTTTTTTTTTTGGGGGGGGGGGGGGTGCAATAAGTTATTTAAACACTTAACAAAATATAAATTTTAAGTAAGTTTGATAGGAACAAATTTTCAAAGATATACATTTGTACATTTTAGAGACTACAAGATGAAATAAATAGTAAACAAAAGAAGTTAGACTATTTAGAACAGGCTGGTGTTTATCTCATGCAGAAAGGGGATAGTAAAGATGCCATCAGGGTCCAAAGAGAGCTGGATGACTTCAAACAGTTTTCTTCTCAGGTCATTGGCAAAGTTAATGATTACCATAGTGAATTGGAACATGTCATTGCTAAGGTACTGTATTCAGTTCTAAGTTGATGTCGAATAAAAACGGAGAAAGAAAGATTTTTTTTTGCATAAATTCATTGGTTGAACCTTAATTGTCTCCAATTAATTTATTCACAATTTTCCTAGACTCTGGGAGATATCAGTTGATAGACTAATTTTGAAACTAAATCATATTCGGTTTCTTGAAGAATTTGAGACTTTTCTAATTGTGGCATAAGTTTGATAAGAAGCAGATTTCATTTTACTGTAAGAGTTAAAACTAACTAAATGTTGTCTTGTTTTATTCCTTGTTTGTATGTGAGTGTTAACAGGAGTTAAAAAAGTGTTAAGGACTTGTGTAAATTCGGTGTTTCATATAAGATGAATTCTAAAAAAAAGAAGAATTGAATTTTGTTTTGGAAAACTTTCTTTATGTTTACATTTTCTAGTGCTGATGCTAAAATATTTAGTTCTATGTTTTTATTTTCAAATAGCTAACAGAGGATGCAGTACGAGCAGACAGACAGCTTCCTGGTGATGAGCTTGATGAATTAGAGCGTCAGCTTAGATTAGGAAAATGGGACATGCAAGAACTGGAGGAGTATTTAGAGGCCTCACCTCCTGAAAGTCCTCCTGAGAAGCGACGTCACATGCAGGAGAGATCAGTATCTCCAGCTCAACCTCGATCTACCTCACCAATCAGAGCTCGCACACCTCCACCAAGGTCAAGGTCAACTTCCAGATCACGATCACCTAGTCGTTATGCTTCACGCTCACCAGTCAGGTCACCAACACGAGTGTCTACAAGAAGATCAAGATCACCAATGAGAACTAGAGAAGGTAATGAATAATTATTCCACATTGTATATATCATGATGGACTTGTAGTCCCTGAGTATATCATCTCTATTTTTTCATTGGTCAATATCTATGGATGTTAAAAACCTCAGGTATATATAAGTGCACATCTTTTTTCAGAGCTGCATAACAGCTATTAAAGCTTCTATACAGGTCTCAGCAGAATGGAAAAATTGCAAGATGCTGTATAATCACAGAAATAGCGCAAATTAATCGAGAAAATATTAAAATTGCCCTTTTGTAATTAAGCATTGTTTATAGTATGGAATTCCATAAGGTAAATATTAAAAAAAAATCAAGAAGGTACAGGAAAATATATTATATATTTACCTCACATTTTAGCTCTAGAAATTTCAAGACAAGAAAGATGGAGAAGATTAAGGGAAGAGCTATCAGAGAAAGGTCGTGAAGCTGAGATTGAGGCTCTACTAGAAAATCTAGTAGATGCTATAGAGGATGCCAAAGACAAATTATGTGATGCTGAGGATGAAGTCATGGCTGGTACTCCATCAGAATCAGGAACTAATGATTCCTTTGAGGACTATGTGAGTCTTACTTTTTTTTTATCACAATGATCGTCATTGCAAAAAGTTAGATAAAAAACAATTGTTAAATTCGATAAGTATGAATAACCAGAAATTTACAGTAAAAGTCAATGAAACAGCAACCCAACAAGACAAAAATAGCAAACTGTCAAGAATTTATATCCAAGGTCTTGGTTTTAGTATTGATGAATTGAATGTTTAATTGTCTTCTCTATAAATGATATTCTTTCTCATGTATGACCACGATGTCAATTATAATAGAGGACTTTTGAATTCATGCACTTTCCTGTACATTTTCTATGTCACAATGCTTACATTATTAATCACAGTAAGAACCAATTTTTCAATGACATCATTTACACCTATTGACCTTGGGTCAACCAGTGTAACTCATTCATAAAAAGCAACTCGTGATTGGTGTATTAAAGTTTCACTTTTGGAACTTTAAGGACTCTTCCATTACGAATTTAATAAAATTTTGGACTTTATACTGTAGAAATTGTGGCACAGAATAGTGAGAAGCATTGGATTGAAATGAGAAAAACCCTCAAAGATATTTTGAAATCTTCAGAGCTGCTTATTAATTTGTATGAACTTACACTAACTTTTGTTTTCAGTTTCAATGTATCCGAGAATGTGAGATGAGTATAGATAATATGAAGAGAATAGAAAGATTGGTCAAAACAGAAACAGGTGTCTATGGCATAGCTAGTGCAGATGTAGAGATAAAAGGTATGGTAATATAACAACACAATAGACACAAATTTACAACATAACCCATCACAGTAAAGCTCAATGCCAAAAGTTTGGAAAGAAGAAATTTTATAAATACATGCTCATTTTTGCGCCTGTCCCAAGTCTGGAGCCTCTGGCCTTTGTTAGTCTTGTATGTTTTTTTAATTTTAGTTCATTTATATGTTTCAGGGTTTAGTGTGACATCCATTTTCACTGAACTAGTACACATTTTATGTTTAGGGGCCAGCTGAAGACCGCATCCAGGTGCGGGATTCTCACGCTGTGTTGAAGACCCATTGGTGGTCTTGGGCTGTTTTCTGCACTTTGGTAGGGTTGTTGTCTCTTTGACACATTCCACATTTCCATTCTCAATTTTATGGGAAATTATGGAAGTAAAGAGGGACTTAACAAATATGTTGAATGTAAACTTTGCTTGAGGGAGGATAGAAGATCAATTTCTACGCATTGCTCATTTCTTCTCAATATGATATTTTTATGACAATTCCTATAATTTTTATGCAATTTATTGGTAACAGTGGTTTTAATTGCATGTCATATATATGAATGGGGGTGAAATCAATGTTTACTTGTCAAAATTCTCTGCACAATTGCTGTTGAGCTTTTGGATTATCCTAAATTAATTAAAAGACAAGAAAATAAATTTTCAACTGTTAAATCAACCATAGATGTCAGCCAGTAAAAAAAATACAGTACAGTTATTCCTTATAATTTGTAGATGTTCTTCAAAGATGGGAAATATTGCAAGCCAGAATAATGGATAGAGATTATAGAATGAATCAACATCGTCAGGACTGGGGTCAATTTAAAGCTGACCTCGATCACATGTTAGCTTGGTTAGATGAAGTGGAGGCTGATCAGGCTACACAAGCATCTGCACCAAGGGACATAACTCAACTAGATTCTATAATAAGACAACATAAGGTATGTCTTTACTAAAATTAAAAGTGAAATAATCCTATCTCCATTTACATGCATACTCTGGATGAGGATAGCATGGTATACAATTTGTAGTAAAAGTGGATAGGGGTTTTAAACATACTTGTATTATATTTTTGCTGTAATCACCTAAAGAAATGAAGTTTTAATCTACACTAGAAATTGTGATCATTTGTAGAATTTTTTCAAACATTTTCTGTGGCTAGGGTATTTTATTTTTTAGAGGTATTACCAAAATTTTTCGACATTAACATTTTTCCCTTTAATTTGAATGAAATCTGTTGTCCATTCTTATGCCTGAAATTATATGTGCTCTGTAGGATTTATTTTGTCAATAGAAATTTGAAATACTATAATATTCTTGATAAAGGGAGATAAATCATAGGAATTTTAACAACGCACATTACTTTACAGATAATAGCTGCACATAGATTGAAGGTACAAAGTCTAACTCTGTGTATAGTAAAGTTATGGAACATAATTATTTGACTGTATTTTTCATTTTTATTCCTATAAATCATACTTTAAGAATTAGACAGTCCTAATATGCATTTTGCTACATTTTTCATAAACTCTTTACCAAAAAAATCAATTAGTCTGCATTTTATTTGTATATTTATTTATTTTTTTTCCACATATTTTGGTTAGTAATCACAAAAAATTATGATATAACTAAATTTATTCAAAATAGAAAAAAGTAATTACTCTGCTTATAAATTGTCAAATATTGGAAGAAAGTGTAAAGGATATTAAAAATTGTGTAGGCAATTCTTGATCTTTTGGCAGAGCTAATGTATAATTTGACATTTTTTTCTTTTGGGTATGATTTTATATGAAGAAAAATTGTCAGTTACAAGTAATTGAGTTCCAGACCATTTAGCATGAAGCTTATTTGTTTATACAAAAACAAATATTAAAATTTTGTTTGGAGTAGTTGTTTCAGTTTTTATCATATACATGTTTAAGTGGACAACTAAAACTCCATATTGTAGAAGCCAAAGATATATGAATCGCTTTGAAATTAAATTCACTATTGAGGCATGAGTACACAAATTAATTGAACTTATGAATATGCATGCACTTTGATAATTAATATAATTAGCTTTATAAGTTGGAATCAATATCAAGATAAATTACAATTACCCGGTAACTAGTCATCCATTTTGTTTAATAGAAATAAAGCAGTTCAAATAACTTTTTGGTATACTTCAATGAGACAGTGACCAAAAAATGCCATAAAATGGAAGAAGAAAAATTGTTGCCTTCCATTATGTCGATATCTAAATGAACGTAACAGAGACTACCAAATATCAATCATCAACTTCAAAGACATTTAGATGTAAACAATGACAGCTTTTAGCAATGTTCCTGACTTTGGACAGGATCATTCCAATATGGCAGGAGCAAACTGCTTTTAATGATCTGTTCTTTTTCTCATGCCCCCTCTGTATCAAAGAAATAAGAAAAGATGCAGAGAAGGAAATTTCATTAAAAAAAAATTGAGAAATGGATACCTCATGTTATATTATAATGTATTGCTCAGACAAATTAGTTACTTTTGAATTTGATTAGGCTACTTAGAAATCAGGAACTAAGGGTTCAAATTTTTTTAATTTTTATTTTAGAATGTGAGTATATTTTGTGGTAAGATCTCTGTAGTTTTCACACATGTAAAAGATGCATTCAGGTTTGTGTGGAAACATCACCTGTTTCATTTCTTCATCTAATAAGTCATTTGAGTTTCACACAGCGACTTGTAATAGATCATAGATGTTGATAAACTCTAATAAGTTTTAGCATGATGTGCCACAATATTTTGTTAATGCTAACCAATTTTATTTGTATTGGTCAAGGAAAAACTTAGGCTAAGATAAAAAATTATTTTTTTTCAAAACTATCAAGTCCATTCACAAAGAGTTGAAAATGGGAAGTAATACAGTCAGACTTTTGAATATTAAAGAAAAGAGTCAAAATTTTGAATACCAGTACTAAAGAGAGAAAGTCAAAATTTTGAATGAAAACTGTCATTTGATTTGATGAGCACAGATATAATAACATGAAAAAGATATTTCTCTAAACAATAACTGTCTTGAGTTAAGAAAGAGAATGGTAAAACATTATGACCGATTTCAAATCTTAAAAGTGAAAAATTATATGAAATTCACATATAAATGTACCAGTATGGTTCAAATGTGATCAAAATTTTTATCATTAAGCATTGACAGAGAGATAGGAATTGTAAAGACCTATCAGAAATTAGGGGGGAGAAATTGGGTAGTGGGATTTACAGAATCCCTATCCATCTGTCTGAATTGGATGCTCATTCTGTTGCATTTTATCACAGAACATAAAAAAAATCATTACTATATTTCAGTATAAATGGTTTTTGCTTGTATGTGAACATTTATTTTGTTATTCATTTATGTAAAATACATTGTATTAAATTTTCAATAAGTAATGAACAAGCTAACTAAGAATTGGCAACAATATATGATTTTCTTTTTATTATTTATTTTATTGCAACATTACATTGTTTTTTTTACTCTTTTACAGGATTTTCTTGTTCAGCTAGAATCCAAGAAAGCAAGAGTTTTATCACTAAATCTAACAAGTAAAAACTTTACAAATTTAAGGACACAAGAAGGGAGAGAACTCCGTGATAAATTGAGACATATGAATAAACGATGGGAGGCAATGTGTGACCGTGCCAATTTAATGCAGAACGATTTAAAAGTTTCATTAATCCAATGTGAAGAATTTCACATAACTATTCATGACTTATTACTCTGGTTAGAAAGTGTAGAAACAAAAGTCCAGCAATGTGAACCAATCAACAGAGGTGCTGATGAAGGTGCATTGTGGTCCAAACTTAGAAAATTAAAGGTAAGCAAACTGAAGTGGTAGACATATTATTAATGTGCTATATTTTTGGGATCTGATATTAGTGTTGATATTTTTTAAGCAGATTGATATTAAAATTTTTGTAGTTATTTGTAGAAAAAAAAATTCATATGTTGTTCAGTTACATCTGACATCTTGTAAAAAAGGGGAGAAGATACAAAAAAGAGGCAATCAAAAACCATACTTAAAAAATACACAACACACCACCATGGCCAAATTAAAAAAGACAAAGATGTTAAAAAAACACTGAACAGGAAACTAGAGATTGAGTAACAGGAAACCAGAGACATATATACAATATATGTCTTGGAGGAAACCCACCAAAAAAGGAGGATTAACTCAGGTCAATTGGAAGGGTCAGTCTAATGGTAAATACAGAGATTCAACAATTTCAAATAATGGATCAAATCAGAAAATTAAGTAACAGTTATATTATATCCTCATTGAAGGATTATGGGCTATATTGTAATCACTTAGTCTGACTATCTGTTCTTTTGTCCCTCTGTACCTGACCTTTATAAACATGTTTGACTGTAATGGTAAGTTAAATTATTAAGAAAAGCATTTCAATACCCATGGTCAGTAATGAATTACAGTAAAGTACATAATTGCTGTGGGCACAATGTTTGTTCTGAAACAACATTCAATTTGGAGAGGGCTTACATAGGCTTTGCCTGTTGCCCAATCCAGTTCATTTTTTTATGAAAAAACATTTGCCTAAACAAAAAAAATACTTAAATTAAGAAGAAACAATTGAAATTTAAGTTATGCATTTCATTTCAGGAATTAAAACTAGACATGGAAACAAACCAACCTAGAGTCCAGTCATTGAAAGAGACAGCAGATCAACTTCTGATAAATGATGATTCTGCAGAGATGCTCAATGCTAAAGATAAAACTCACATTATATCTAATAGACTGAGAGCATTGTTACGACTATGTAAATCTTACATAGTCAGTCTGGAAGAACGACTTAATGTTTCACCTGATGTTGCTTCTTCGGTAAGAAATTTGTTTTTAGACAAAAATATATAGTACAAGTAATAACATCCTTTAATTTTACTATTACATGTATTTCAATATGCTTATGAATTTATGTTTGGTACAAACATTTTGTTATATCAACTGATTTCCAGAAAATAAGTCCAAAATCAAAAATTACATATAAACTTGCTAATATCAAGAACAACAATCATATTCTTGTCTTGGCATTCACAGAAACAGCAGTAAAATCATTTTTACATTTTCATGTTTTTTAGAGTCTTTGCATCACTTCATTTTCTTACAAAAGTCTGAACCTTACTCAAAAATTATGTCTAGAAATCTTTGCACCACTTCTTTAGTTACAAAACTCAGAGCTTAAATAACAAAAATCATGTTGAGAAATATAAGTTTCTTTTCTTATTGAAAATAGGGTACAAGGAGATTAATACATGTACAGGGGTATACAACAAAAAGACTTAAAGATGTCACCAAAAAAAATATGCTATTTCAGTTTTGATCTTCAGGGAGTATGAAGTAAGCTCTCAAAATAAATATGTGATAAAATTGATTTGACAACTTGTAAGAGAATTGGTTGACACTTGATTGGTTTTTGGTGTAACTCTCAAAAATTAGAAATCTATCTCTTTAAATTGATTTTGTTATTCTAATCTATAATTTTAATACTTGTAGCCATTATCATTAGACTTAACTGATAGCCGATTGTCCAGTTATTCTGCAAGGACAAGTACACCACGAACGAGGTATACCCAACTCCGTCCAGGGTCATCCGTCCGTACAAGATCACCGTTTGCTGTCACTCGTCAGGTATGGTACAATAATTGATACTACCAAAGTTCTGTAGAAATTTCAAATTATCTACTATTAATTATTTGATATTTTCAGAGGTAGATGGCAAATCAGTCTTACAGTAATTAATTCTTATTTCTCAGTTGTTCCTTAGTATTGACTGGTTTTTGGTCTTATTTTGCGCAGCACATATAATTGATAATTCTAAAAAAATTATTAAGTTTAATATTTAAAGTGTGGCAATAGAAGACATTTCATCAACTTATACATCCTAAATTATATTTTTGATATGTAGTAGAATTATTTTAAGAGATTTTTTGTTCTTTATATTTCAATTTCATAAATGTTCAATAATTCTTGCTTTTTCAAACAGACTGATAGAAACTTTTTGTAATGTATTCCATAAACTATTTTAATGTAGTGCTTGTCTTTTTTTTATAAAAGCACAAAACTTTTAGTTAGTGACAGCATGAAGACATATGTTATTCCTTTTCAATATTTCTGTAATTATTTCATACAAATATGTAATAAATTTTCATCAAAACAACACATTTTTATGCCCCATTTATGGGCATTATGTTTTTTCGGTCTGTGCGTCCGTTTGTTCGTCCGTCCGTCCGTCTGTCCCGCTTCAGGTTAAAGTTTTTCAGGTTAAAGTTTTTGGTCAAGGCAGTTTTTGATGAAGTTGAAGTCCAATCAACTTGAAACTTAGTACACATGTTCCCTATGATATGATCTTTCTAATTTTAATTCCAAATTAGAGTTTTGACCACAATTTCACCGTCCACTGAACATAGAAAATGATAGTGTGAGTGGGGCATCCGTGTACTATGGACACATTCTTGTTATTTCAATTTTCATGAAATTTTTACTCATAATATTTTATGCATATGGTATTCTTTTGATATGAAAATGATATTTTTGATTAAATTTCCATTTCTAAAAAGTTCAAATTATACAATATTACAAAAAGTGTCTTACAGTTCACATAAGAACTACTAATAATTCTAAGATTGGTTGTGAAAATAAGACATTACCAGAAAATAAGTTCAAAATATTTTTATTTAAAATAATGATTTATAAATACATTTTTGTGTGTAAATGATTTATAGAGAAACATGGAAAAAGAATGACCAGTCCACATGCTGTATATGTAATGGGTTGATGATTTATCTTATGTTAAGTATCAATATATGTACCACACAGCACTGTAATACACTTTTGTTGTTGTTGACATATGGTGGATAAAAAAATGTTGTTAGTGGAGTGGCAATCATGTATAATCTAATGTATATTACACTCAATTGCACTTTAGCTGTTCCAAAACAAAATGTTACAATAGACTATTTTTATCAGGGAGTCCACAATAATGACAGTTTAATAACTTATATTTTTCTTTTTTTTTGTGCATTAAGCATAAATTGCTCTGACATCTGAGAGCCTTTTTTCCGGGCCTTTGGTCCTCCCACCCAAGCAAGTTTCCAAAAATGCTGTCAGACATAAGAACAATCTTTGACTACCAGTATATTTAATTCTGTCATTTGTAAACATCACAAAGAATCATATTATGGTTGCAGACTTTATGTTCCAAAAAAGTTTGATATAAAAATTTTCTTTTGGAACAGCTAAGGTAAGGCTGTGTGCCAAATTATGTGACTTTGTTTCCATCATTCATATTGGTACACATAAATGTTTTAAATGGCTTGTATATTATAAGCAGTTATTGTGTTACAAGTTGTAATTTCAAAAATATTCAATATCTTCCAAAAAATATATGATTATTTGCAGTTGGCTAAATTATCATTTTAAGGATTAACAGCTGTTATTTTATATTAAGGATGGAAAAGTTATTTATAAAAACTTATTTATTATAAAACATGGTTTTCTTCTGAATTTGAAATGTTTATTAAATTCCTCTCTGTTTGATATAAATCAGTTTAAGAGTTCCGTTTATCTTTTAAAGTAGCTAAACAGTTTCTGGTTAAATGAATGTTTTACAAGAACAAATCAGTGCTTCTCTCAGAAAAGCATTAATTTTTATGCTTGATTCAGTTGTCTGTAAGATAAACCATTTCCAGAAACTCAGAAATGAATTTCTTGAAATAGTTATCCACAAGTCTCAAGACCTTTGTTAATAGACTCCCAATTCACTTGGTTCAGTGAAATTGTTTCTAGGATTCTATTTTTATCATACACAATTGCTAAATGATAGAACTGGTAAGTATGGGAACCAGATCAAATATATACACAGAATATTTCACATGTTTTATTGATTTCACAGCTACTACGGTGGGTGAGACCCTTTTGGCCCGGCACATGTCAAGATGACAACACGTAATATGGCACTTTTTAATTTACTGTTATGATTTTACTATGCATCGTAGGTGGTGGCCCGAAAGCCATGCATAACTGTATGCATCTTATAACAATCCAATGCTTCGTAACTTAAAGCTGAACATCCCTGATCTACTTTCGATTCTCTTCTACTATACGATTGCCTTGTTCTTATTAGAAATCCCTGGAAATGTAAGAGTGTTGGTATAAAATTGTTGTTGAATGTGTTGTCCTGTGTGATGTTTGTTTATGTGTCGTAGGATAGACTGCATCTTAACAAATTATATGTAACTTAAAATTCTTTGATGCATCATTTTATCGTGAAAACTTGAATTTGAAAAAAAAAAAACTGAGAAAAAGAGGGAATGCTACAAAAAGTTTTCTTTTATGTTTCAACCATTAAAATCTCAGGAAAGATAAAACAACCCCACATAAAAATATTCAGCTTTATGTTCATGACCTTTTGGAGGTAACTAAGGGAGATAAATGCATGGGTTTGCATGAAGATTTATGGTGCATTACTTCCCATTGTTATTCAAGATGTAACAGGTCTATTATTACTTACAAATTATCCAAAATGTTTATGTACCAAAAGACCTGCATTGAGGTTAAACTTATACATAAAATATATTAAGCTATAACATCATATATGTAATAAGTTATAATGGTTTTAAACTGAAAAAATGTAGTGTACATATTATATTAATTGTTAACAGTCAAACCTGAACAAATAATGGTCTCCCAATTGCAAGATTGAAAAGCATGTGATATCTTAGAGTAAATGTCCTAAAACTGATGTTCAGATTGCAAGTTTTTAAAGGGATCTAGAGGTTAATCCTGGGGAAGTAGATGCGTTTCCAGAATTTTATTTGGAAAGGAAGAAAAACGGATGTTCTGATTGTTTTCAATCTCCTCCTGACTGCATGCCACTGCATGAAGTATGTTTTACTGTCTCTTAAAAGTGATTATTCTGTATAGAGGGGACTAAAGACAGGTTTGATTGTATGCTTGTAAGCAAGAGTGAAACCCATTGGAAGAAAACATTTCCAAAAAATATCTCATTCATTATTCATACTTATTTTACTAGACATCATCAAACATTTTTTATTTTTTCATCTTCATTCATTTTTCATGTTCGATAAAAAAAAATTGTCACCATATTCATTTTTTTTCTATAGAGTATGTTTCTGTATCTGTCTATGCATGATCCATTGTAATAGCTATTAAAGCATGATGTATCTTGGGCCACCCAGTACTTTATATGTATATATAACTATATATAGTTAGAATTGTAGTCTTAGATGAAATAATTATCTTTGTTGGATGCTTGAAGCTGGTAATTAATGCTTAATTTATAATTCATTGTGGTCAGACTGGAAAAAAAAATGTCGATAGTTTTCTTATGTTATGGTAAAGAATCAAAATGCAAAAACTTTTTTCTTCTTTTCTTGATTGAAAAAAAGAAGCTAAAGATATTCAACTCAAAAGTCCAAAGTCAAACTGACAACGTCATGGCAATAAACGAAAAATGACTGAAAGACCAGCAACAGTCTACGAAACACAACATAGCAGACTGAGTAACACAAATATTTTTATACGTTCATCTTCAAGATACAAAATATAACAAAGTGATTGCAAAATTGAGGATGCATGATTTTTTTTGGCAGTGAATAGAATACAGTGTATTTTATTAATTAATTTTAAAACAGACTACTAAAAAAATTGAACACAGAACATGTGAAAATATTCCTGCAAAATATACAAGCTTTATTTTATGTTTTTATTTTTTTGCTATTTTTTTTTCTCATACTGCTTAGATGATAATAATCAAGTACTGGGTACTGTTTTGCATAATATTTTAGAACAGTCAGAGACATACTATATTATGTCTCTGGTAAAGTTAATGCTTTTACAGATAATCATTTTTAAATATTGCTTACTATATAATCAGGCTATTTATTATAAAGTTTTGTATGAAATATGTAAGCCTAGCATATATGCTGACTTCAAATATGACATTTTAATAATAAAATTGATTTGCCAAAAATGTTGCAAGAGCTCAATTAATCAGTGGTCAATAATTTTCCATCTAATAGATATTGTCTTGTCTAGATATCTTAAAACAGTACAATCCTTTAATGAGAAAAAATAAGTACCGTATGGCAAATTAATAGAGAGTAAGCTACAATATAAAAGACAGACACCATCATTTAATCTATTCATCACACAATTTCAAATCACAGAAGCACACCATTTCATTCACATTATTAGTGCTAGTAGTATTCATTCACTAAAGATTAGTAGATTTTGAATCATTTCTTCATTGATACTTCACAATTCATCATAATAGCTAGTTTCTTTGATTGTGAATACTGGCCTACCATGATATAATTTCTTGGGACTATTGCTTCAGCAATTTTCAATTTAATTATCATTTTTTGATTAATTTCAAAATCTTAATAGGTCCTTTCAGTTACAAGAACACACATATATATATATGGTAAGCCAGTATTGCAATAAACAAAACTTTAAAGTAACAACCGTAGAATTATATTATTCATTACATAAAACAATTGACATAGATCTTGTTTTTTTTGTATATTTAATTGATTAATTTTTTATTTTATAGCTCAACAGAACTACATGATGTCGAAAGTCAGAGAAGACCGTCATACTTTCGTCGGGTCCTTAGAACAGCTCTACCATTACAACTCTTACTTTTACTGTTACTTGGCATAGCCAGCTTAGTTCCGATGACTGAAGAAGACTATAGTTGTGTTCTTATGAACAATTTTGGTCGATCGTTGGGTCCAATGTTACGATATAACAATGGACCACCTCCATTATAGTCTTTGAACATTTTTTACATCATGTAGTGTTGGGAATCAAAATACTCTCGAGTTGACGCAATGAATTGACATTATATACTGCCATTCCAGTTTTTAAGATGAATGTTGACATTTTTTTACAAATATAAAGGATCTCCACGATATTTTTCTGTGATAATATTTGATTGTACTCTCATTAACGAAACTGTGATATAAAATCACATAACTTGCCATATGTATTTATGCGAAGCATTAAATGCTAGACATTTTTGTAGGGTAATACTGTGTTGCTTATATATAGTCCCAACGTGGCAAGTTTGTTTGTTGTGTATAAATATATATATGTTATATATATACATATTTGGTTTTTGTATTTGTTTGTTGGTCTTTAGAAATATTGTTTAATGAATGTATCATTTTGGGGAACAAATGCAGAAACATGTAAATTATGTCTTACCTATATTTGATCATGTAATATATCCAAATATACATGAATTATTTATTTTGGAAAAAAATCAAAGTACAAGTTTGTGTTTAGTAAAATTTATTTTTCCACTTTTGTAATTTGTGTAAAATATAATGGTGTATATATTTAACATAGGTGAACTATGTTTCTCCAGACAAATTAGTGCTAGTTCTTAATTTATTCAAGAAAATGTAATATGTTTACTCTCATCATTGCAGTTTTTTGCAGATTACCAAATTATTGCAAATTAATCATCCTCATTCATCTAATGTTATCTTTAGCACATCATTAACATTTGAAATGCACATGTTGACACTTTTTTGTTGTTTTTGATTTCAAGTTTGACAAGACTTATTTTTAGTTTATATCAGTAATGTCCCCTTGTATGTAATACTGATGACTGATGTTTAAATGGCAGCTTTGATAGTTATCAGTGTTGCATAAAATATGTCATAAGTTGTGGAAATTTAAACTAAATTTTGTCTTATATGCTACAAAATCTCTTACAAAGAGTCTCAAGTTCTTTACAATTTTTAAAGTTTTTTTTTATATAGTTTTTTTCATAATCCTGGTGTTTTGATATTTTATCATTTTTTTCAAGCCTGGTGTTTGATTGTGTAGCTTTTAAATGTTTGGTCCCTGTTATAGCTGGTTCCAGTTATAGCTAATTTCATAATAAGTCTCATTTTGCTTGTTTGTATGTATTTTTGAGCGACATTTTTATATTTGTATATATTTGGCAGTATTTATGCATGCATATAGTTGTTAGATTTTACATAAAGTTATTTGTTATGTTAATGATACATATTATACACTTCCAACTACAATATGTCTTATCATTAGTCCATTTTATTTTAGTCCTTTTATATATGGTAATGTAGCTCATCCCATTCTTAAAAAAAATGTGGTTTGGTGATTTTCCTGATCAAAACTTTGCAGACTGTGTCATAATTATGATACAATTTAAACTTATATGATTGATTGTTGGTTGCTTACCCTCCAGTGGCAAATATTTCATGCATGTTCAGGACGACAATTTAAACTTATAAGCTGAAAGGTTAATTTTTATATTGGCCTTTATTAGCTTTGTGTCACACCATTTTGTTGATGGATTGATTACCTGAAAGGATTGATTACCTGAAATAGAGTGCACATGTTTTTCATTTTTCCATAGAAATATTTTGGGCATGTCAGGCAGGCTCTGGGCTTCATTTTGATATAACGTTCAGCTCAAGGTTTTACATTATGGACTCCAGTCCTGTCTCCTTTGTGTATTGTTTGTCGACTGCGGGCGGGTCTTATGATTGGTCTACATAAGCCCCATAATTAGGACTCATGGCTACACTGATAGGGCTGTGAGCTCCAATGGTATAGATTTACATCCACAGTCCAAAGTAACTGGTGGAGCCAATGTTATAACCACAAATTAAAGCAATCAACTGTTTATCAACAGCATACAACTTCAAACTTGAGTTTCACCAAATTTCTATACCATTTTTATCATAATCCCTGATAATGAAGTCACATTCAGATGAACCATGTCAAATAGACATACACACCTAACAATCATTCCATGCACCAAATACAGTGGTCATATTGTTTATAGTGCCTAAAAAACAGACCAAACCACAAAATCTTAACACTGACCATTGAACCATGAAAATGAGATAAAGGTAATATGAAACCTACCAGACAGACATGCACACCTTACAATTATTCCATACACCATTTATTCTTGACCTATTGCTAATAGTATACGATAAGTCCAAACCACAAAAACTAAACATTGTCCAATGAACCATAACAATAAGGTTAAGGTCAGATGTAACCTGCCAGTTGGACATGTACACCTTACAATCATTCCATACACCAAGTATAGTGGCCCTATTGCTTATAGTATCTGAGAAATAGACCAAACCACAAAAACTAAACATTGTCCAATGAACCATAACAATAAGGTAAAGGTCAGATGTTACCTGCCAGTCCGACATGTACACCTTACAATCATTCCATGCACCAAATATAGTTGCCCTACTGCTGATAGTATCTGAGATACTGACTTGACCACTTAACTTTATCCTTGATCACTGATTCATAAAATTAGGTTGAGGTCAGGTGAACCGTACCTGATGGACCTGTAGACCTTGCAAGGAACCTGTATACCAAATATAGTATCCTAGTACTCTTAGTATTTCACATTTAAAAAAAAACTACCAGTAATTTTTTTTCAAGCAGTCACTGAACAATGGAAATGAGGCCAAGGACAATGAACATATGATAGATGGAAACTTCTTAAGATTAAGTATATGCATACAAATTATGAAGCATCCAGGTCTTCTAGTTTGATATATAAAGCTTTATACAAATACACGTAGTTTAAGTCGTCAACGCTGCCACTGGATTGTAATCCCTAATTCTTGCATTCTGCAACTCTCATCACAGGTGAGAAAAAATGATTCTGATGACTCAAACTTACAATTTGTCAGGTATTGGCTATATCATAGCAGCCAGTTTTTATTGGTAGAGGAAGCTGGAGAGAACCACCAACCTTTGGTGGAAAAATTGTCACTTCTAGTCAATTAAGAGTGAAGTAGAAAGCATCTGCCATGTGCTGGGTTCTGACTCATAACCATAGTGTTGAAAGGCTAGTGTTACTGTAAATGAATTACTAGGACCACTTACCCCCAGAAGCCTGCCCCCTCAATAACTGACCATGCTACTAATGTCTTTGACAAGAAAATGATTCATAAGTGAAATCGGACTTACAATACCAAGTTTCTTTTGACTATCAAGTGGTAGTAAATCTTTGTACATGTATTTTAAATATCATGCTGATAAAAACATTTTAGAATAACTCTAAATAGTGGTTGTTTGATAAAGGATTGAATATTGTATTTGTTTAAAAAAGGAGAACACTTGCAGGCATGCATACTGCTAACGGGAAACTACAAATGACTTTTCCAGCGCATTAGCACTTCGATTTTTGTTGTGGCTAAAATTTTCAATCATTTCAAAGAAATTATGATAATGAAAGATTTCTAATATATGTTTACATGTATTCGTGCAATTTTTTGTTGATTTGGTATAATCCTGTCAGGTGATGATTAAAATGTGAAAAAACTTAACAGATCTGTATTACATAATGGATGCTAGTTTCGTCTAGGTGAGATAAAAATCTGACACCGTCTATAAAGTTTCTACATTTCTCGCAGATTAAAAGACCCTGAGCAGCTCATACTTGCACCATCTTTGATATACTTGCAGTATCTTTGAAACCATCGGGTCAAATTGATTATAAAAGCAATTCTTGATTATAACTTGGTAAACATGACCAACTCTTTTCAAATATACAATGTATAATTATAATTATCAGGAGACTCAGTTATTTAGCTTATGAACAAATCTTATTTTGCTGATCGTTTTTTACTGTTTAAAGTTTCTCTCTTTCCATCATATAGTTAAAGCACCGAAAAAAAGAAGAACAAGAGGCACACCTGTGTCTGGATCACTCACTTGTGATATGTGCCAGTCTGCTGACGAGGACCTTTATATGCACATACTAGTACTTCTTTACGTTGCTGATAATTAGTTTAACTTAGCTCTTATACTTTTTAAGATAACAACCAAAACTGTAAATAAAAACAAGTAAAAATCAACTTTTCAGGGACAACAACTCCTACAACAGCTTGTCAGATTTCTGAAATTTTCAGAGTAGTTGCTGATCAATTCTGCGATTTCCACTTTTAACATAGTTCCTTTAGTTTTCGAAATTTACAAATTCGAAAAACTTTTTAAGGTATATTTCAGGGGGAATAACTCTTAAATGGGTAGATGTATCTTGTAGTGCTGATCATTTCATTTTAACCTAGCTCCTAGTTTTCAAAACAGAAGCAAAGAACTGCCAAAAGAGTTTAAGATCAATATTTCAGAGGCAACAACATAAAAAAAAAAGGAAAAACATTTTTCAGGTTCGATAGAGCTTGTTGTACTGATTATATTTACCTAGTGAGAGTTTGTCTAAATGATTTTGGGAAAATTAGCAAAAACCAGTGGCGGATCCAGGGGGGGTCCAGGTGTTGGAACCTCCCCTTTTTGTCGATCAATGCTTTTGAATGGGGACATGTGGTTGGACCCCCCCCCTCTTTATCCTGGGTTGGAACCCCTTTTAAAGATTGGCTGGATCCGCCCCTGCAAAAACTGCAGCTTGACCAGTATGTTCTATTTTTAGACATGTCAGCCATGTTGGTTAATCAACATGTACAAAATCCACATTTTTAACTTCATAGTAGAAATCCTGAAGTCGGCAAACGTTAGTTTTAATCCATAATGCAGTTTCAGAGAAGATTTTTTTTAAACAGTGTACAGACAAAGAATGCATTAAGTGATGTATAAAGACGGAGGGTCCTTTATCCAAGCACCTTCTCCTTCGGTTACACATAAGATATATCATAGTTTGAAGATTGATGCAAGTAAATAACGATAGTTTTATGCAGAGGTTGTATAATAACAGACGTCACAGTCTATATGTAGCTGCCAAATATTATAAGTATTCTGATTTTAAACTAATGGAGCTATCAGATTTATAGGCCATGAAACACACTTCTAAAACTGATTACAACCTGTACACGTTTGTATCTCTGCTCTCTACGAAGTATGCAAAAGTTGCAATAACTTTTATTTTAGTAAGTTCATCACTATTATAAAAGTAGACCAAGTCTCTTCATTCTTAGAGCTTCTCTCACATTTTTATTCGTTTTTTTTCTAATTTTTATTATTTTATATTCACTGAATGCATTTTTACCCTGAAAATATATTTGGATGTGAATGCATTGAAAGGTACTTTTTTCAAATGCAATTGGTTACCAGGCTAGTTAGTAGCTATAATAGTGTGATATAAATAACCCTGCTTTATTCTACACTGATGTACCCACTGAGCCAGATGATTTTTAATGTGCTAGTTCATAAAGTAATAGTCAACAGAAAAACATGTCACCCTAAACTGACCCCTAACACGAGCCAATCATTCTTTGCTTCTACTCCTAAATGTTCTAAGCAAAAAAGAAGCAAATTATTTACTTATTAATAAAGACTATCTTACCGATGCTGTAATTAGATCTTTGAATACAGTTTACATTGGCACAAATATCGATTTTGTCATCAGTAAATTAAAACATAACTAAATTTGTATTCTTTACAAACGGTTTTTTGGAATATATATAAATACACATCCACGTTCATTGTCTATTTAGAAATTACTCTATCTATATATTACATTATACATATTTATTAACAGGTTAACTCCTAACTTTCCTACTGCCTGTCGATATTTTGATTTTGGCATTGCACAAGTCATGTCTTCTTTGACTGTCCATAACGTTTAAACACTGTCCATAACGTTTAAACACTAAATCCCTGGGATGTGTTTTAGTTGATTTTAGTCTCTGATGCATAATTTTTTATTATTAATTGTGTTTGAAAGCTTTTACTAGCTTTCAGTAACTGCAAGTACTCTCAAATCGTACTTTCGTGTTAATTTGACCTGTTGATACAATTTGTAATGTATTTTTGTTATTTAATGTTTATTTATTCAGTGTTATATCTAGTCTTACTATTTTTAATATATACCACCTTTGATAAGTGTTTAGTATGACGATAACTTTTCACTTTTGTTCTCGTACTAGGAACAACAAAATTATATCCGAACTCCATGTATACCTTACAACACAATTATTTTTATTTACCTGTGTACGTTATTTTATTTGGCGACATGTTGTCCAAGGTTATGGTTGTCTTTCATATATTATTTTACATCTAACCCCCTTGTTTT